TTGCAACATCAAAAAGGCTTAAAACCAATGCTTGCCGCCAGGAGTCAAAGTTCAGCGCGGCGCACACAACGCCCAAATTGAAGACCAACTTAGAACACGGGAACTCACTGACTCTGCAATGCCTCGAGATCTTAAGCGCTTTGTGTTTAGTCCTTGGCCTTTCATAGCATGTCTCGAGAATCTTTGTCTTGCCGTCAGGTCGCGAAAGTTCTGATGTGACCGTGGTACATTTCCAGCCGGATTCCGACGACAAGAACCAGCAACGTGTTGAAGCCGATGTGCCTGCAGCAGACGGGTGTCGACCCCGATCTTTGGAAGTCACGCTACCCTAGGCCCTAGTGGATGATCACCAGTCGCCCGCCAAAGTGGGTAGAATTCATTTTGCCGAGCCACCAGACTCCGGCATGTGTGTACCTCACCGGCACAGCCAGCCACTTACAAGCTCTCGGAGCAGGGCTCTCGACGAAAACATCGACAGAGTGGAGTAGTGTAAGTAGTGTATGTGGTGACACCTCAAAACACGAAGCGACAGAAAGATCAACAGAACGAAGCTTCAGCAGAGGCACTGGTACGACAGCCATCTCCAGGCTTCCCAGCGCAAGTCTGTGCAATCCTCCCGAAGGTCACGGCGTGACTCTGACACTTCAGTGACCTTCGCTGCGATGCGACTAAGTTGAAGGCCCTGTGGGTCAGCATCGTTGTCCAACCCGTAGCCAAGGACTCCAAGCCGGCCAGAGCTTGCTCAAACCTTCACCACGCAGAATTCGAGGCAGGTTTTCGATTCTGAGCCATGACATTCAGGCGGGCTCTAAACAGTTCAGGAAAGGCACCCAGCTTCATCCTGCGAAGCGAAGACCACCTGATTTTCGATTTGCACTGCATCTGACCCTTCATCTCAGAAAGCATCTGCTGCCAACTTAGCTCGTCACCCAAAGGGTCACTGCCGCAAGGGATTGAAGGACTATGAAGATCGGCCTCAAGCTTGTCTTGCTACGCCTTTCCAGCTGTCAAAATGAGCCTGCGCTGAGCCCAAGGCCAGGAATCCATCTGGTCTTCCACGGCCAATCCAGAAACAGCCCTCAGGATGCATTTCTTCGCATGTTCGGTCGAGTACACTGCTCGATGAGGCTTAGCAGTGCTCCCTGCGGAATTTGTTCTCTCTTCCTTCCTTCCTGCCTTCCGTAGGAGCTGGATCCAACGAGTTGCCCCCCACTCTATCTCCCTCTCCTTCGTGGGCTTAGCCATCATTCAGACCCTCAAGCCATTGGCCCGCCCATCCACCCCTTGTGCTATTGAGTGGCTGGCATTGAAATCCCCATGCAGTCGGTTTTGCATTACGCAAGCCTCTGAGCTGTGACCCCCGTCCCGTGCACTAAACACAAAACAATCCTGGGCAACCACTCGTCGGGGACGCAGTGCTATATCGGCAGGATGTGGCCCCATGCATATGCCGGTTGGCGAAAGCAGTACTCCAATGCCAACACAACGGAGGCAGAAATAGCACGGTTCCTACACATCAGAGAGAAATCCCCCATCTCTCGCTGTGTGTGAGCACCATCCAATCAGACACAGGCAGCAAAGTTCAGACTGCACGCACAAAAACTTGCAAAACTTACAAGTACCAACAAGGCCAGCTCAAATGACTCTATCGAACCGAAGCTGCAGGTGAGCAAAGGTACCCAAGTGGCTTGGTAGATTCACTACCTATATCTGCCCATCCAGGTGTCGGACCAACCCTCTGAAATGAAACATCAGAAACTGAGTGCGAGGTAGGGCTGGACATGGAAAAGCACGTGAAGCATCTACATATGGAGCCATCTCCCCCAGACACGCAGGAATAGCGTCACATTGGTGTTCTGGCTTCGTGGTAAACGGTGTTAAAGTTAGGTGCTACTGTAGAAAGAGCCGGGCAAGAGACACCGAGTCCAAAAGGTCTTGACTTGCGCACTTCCACTCCCAACAGCATCAGGCTGTAGCCAGAGAGCCACGGAGGCCACGGGCAGGAAGAGCACGAACATTTTTTAAGAATTAACCTATGACTGGCCAGAAACCAAGGTCAAAACTCCGTGATACTTCGTGAAAACCTGACCAGCCTCGCATTCAGCCTGCCCTTCTGCAACAGCGGGCCATGACACACTAAATTCAGCCGAGCTTCCCCTCAAGCATGCCAAGATCACTGGGATCCTTCAGTGATTCAGAATGTTGCACGATGTTGCCACGGACGAACGACGATTGCTGCGGACTTTGGAGCTGGTCCGAGGCAACGACCAGCTCTCCCGCTGACTCTCGGAGGCGTCCTGGCGCGACGCAGTTTGATCTCTAGAAGGACAGCCGCTTTGCACGTATCTGCAATTGCACAGGCCTTGCAGATGAATGGATCGAGTGAGCTTTTGCTTGCGGGCTGATCGCCTGGCACTGTAATACGCCCATGTAAAGAGCATGACGTGCAGAAACGTCACAGAGGCAAGACGACGGCACTGCATGCTTTCAGGGGATGGAGTGTTTGTTTCTGTTCTGTCCAGAAGAAGAGGTAGGGTGGTGGATGCGCCTGTCCAGTGACCGGCCGCTGAAAAAGTGTTTGAAAGCAGCTGTGCAAGAGTCATCTTGTTCGAGCAAATCGTGGTGCTCCTGCAAAACACTCGCATCCTGTTGCGTAAGGCCAAAGTCCTGATCCGCATGGGTGGCAAGAAGCTTGCACTGCACAGTGCTCTGTCCGCGTCCACAAATTTCCTTGCCGAACGTACACTGCGAATCACATACACTGTACATGTCTTGACAACAGAGCGCTCTTCCTACCCCATAGCTTCCCTGCCCACTTTGCAACCAAAAAGCAAGCAGCAGCGGCGGCAACATCCGTAGCATCCAGTGTTCCTTCTGCGCATAGCGGTCGAGGCTCCCAGTGATGATGTGCCTCGGGACAGCAGTAAATGACACATCAATGCCCCGAAAGCCTGCGGAAATCTCTAGAAGGATGCTGAGCCCATCACCATCACCTTCAGACTCGCTAAAGCCAATCTGTTCAAAAGACAGAGAGGTCATGTCTCCAGAACCAGCCACGCGATTGAAAGAAGGTGCCTTCTGCGGTGGAGGTCTTGGCGACACGCGGCCATTGCCATTCATGTCAAGTCGAAACGTGCCTCGCCTTAGGCGAGAAAGAAAATGACCTCGTAGTGTGCGCGTGTGGTTGTCTTTCTCGGGTTTGGCTTTTGCAACTGACGTGGGTTTCGAAACGGTAGACTCGAATCGTCGTATCTATCTGCACGAAATATGCCGTAAATGTGCTTGATACATACTTAACCACTTCAAGACGTTGCCTCAAGACTGAAAAACGGTCTAGTTCATATGGCCACATCTTAATCTCCCACACCTGGAATCCCTTCTCAGCCGAAATGCAGAGCCATTCAGGTCCAGCATGCCCTAGCCCAAAAATCTGGCAACAAGAAGCGATTCAGCTTATGAAGGCCAAAGCCCCAACAAGTCCCGCAGGACGTTGGAGGCCATGTTGGAGTCCTGTTGACCCGCGAAATGTGCGATGGACGAGGGAGGACCAAGCACCAAGTTGGAAACACCCAAAAAGCTGCATCAGGGATGTGCGCAGCACGGGTGAAGCAATGTCGTGCGACAGCATCCTCCCAGGGTTAGCGCTGTCCTCCGCCCCATGCTGACACGTTCCCGACAAGGGCTGTGACTTCGGCCTACTGCGATCATTCTATCTCTGCGTCTATGATCCGTCTACCTGCTACCTGCCTGCCTGCCTAGGTTTGTCGTCAAAGTGTGGAAGCAACATCTCCCGGCTCTGCGTTCAATGCACATGTTTGAGGGTCCCGGCAGCTACGGTTTCCTCTCCTGGGACCCGCTTGATAGGAGCCCTGCTGCCTTAGGTATGCTGCCATGCCCGATGTGACTCAGACAACGTTCAACTCTGAGGGCTTGCACTCGACTAGCTTCTCCTATATCACAAGCAGGCTTTAATACGCGAAGTGTGTATCCAGAATTAGACGAGCTCTCAGATAAGCCTGCTCAAGCCGTAGCCTTCAAGTTTTTGCAGTTGCACAAATCCTACATAAACCGATGTCCGAATCTGATCCAGGCTAAGCCCTAATCGCTAGCCACCCCCAAAATGCTTCACACGCCATTCACTAAACTTCAACACTCTTGAAACGAATAAACTCCCCCAAAAAATCAAGCCCTAAGCCCTAAGCCCTAAACCAGTTCTGAACACCCGCCGGACTCCTGAGTATCATCAAGCACGAGGAGGGAACTAGTCACTAGTGACAGAGCCTTACTAGGATTACCAGGTCATGTACCCCTTTGGACCCAGGATCCAAAAACCACGCTTATCCTTGACCAGCCCTTACTTACCCTTGACCCTTGTCCTTGGCCCTTGCCTCACCCTCGCCCGTAACCCCGACACTTAGCCCGCACCCTTGACCCTTACCTTTGCCCCTCCTCCGCATCCTCCTAACCCTTCGCTAAAGCACTTCCCCTCATAAGCCGTTACCCTACCTCATCCTCGATCATGGACCTTGCCCTTAGCCCTCCCTTAGCCCTTACTTACCATTATCCACTGTTAACCCTGAACTCTGCCCCTTTGCTTCGCCATTCCCCCAATTAGCCGTTATCCTTAAGCCTTAAGCCTTCTGGAAACGTTAGCCTTACCCTCAACCCTAGCCCTCACCCTTACATGACTCTCTCCGATCCTCGACATGAGCTGAATCTGACAAAAACCCGTGACCTTTATCCTCTATCCTTAACACTTTCCCAGCCCGACCTGTAGCCCTGACCCTTTGAGGCATTCGGGCCATCCCTCTGTACCACACAAATCGGCGGGGAAGACAGGGCCTCCCTGATGTTAGCCCCTGCTTTCACTGCGAGGCTTCGTCTGAAACGTACTCCTCTTCAAGAGCGATCCGGTCTTAAACTAAGCATCTCGTTCACCTTTTATTGCAAGTTTGCAGCTAGCGAGTTGATGTTGGATACTCAAAAGGTGCGAAGCCTTGTCAGTCTGAACCCTTTTCCGGCTGTTCGGGCACTGTCGACTTGTCACGCCTTTCGGCGTAGATCTTCTCTGCATGAGCTTTAAATGCGCTCAGCATGTTGTTGATGACCTGGCATGTCGTGACGACATTCACAACCCCGCCACTGCACCACTCCCAGGTCCGAGGATGGAGCCATGTGCTGCATGCTGTCCCAAACCTTCGAGGCAAGAAGGTCAGCAGCTGCTCTGCCGAGTCGTGCCCCTTTCTTGGCTGCGGGCTGGCATGTACAGGACGCTTTGCGCCTGGAGAGACAGGGCGATGGGCGGCGATGGGCCGAGAAATGCTGGAGGCTCGAGACCTGGAAAAGCATGTCCAGTTCCACTTTCGTCTTCGACGGCCCCACCTGTCGCTTCCGGGTCCAGGTGTCTACGACAGTGACCCCCAATGACTATCAAAGGCCTCCCAGAAGCGCCAGTCGTAGGCCTCAGCCGAGGCTGCCCTCGTCAGCCGGAAGTGGGGCGGAGAAGTCTCAGTCAAAGTCTCCGGCCAAACGCTTTCCATAAGCGAAGCCTTGCTTGGCATCGGCGCAAACCTTGGGCTGATCCATCGAATGCAAGATGCTGTGCACATTTTCATTGTCTGTCGCTGCCTGATATACCTCCTGCTACGGGCGATCGCTGAAGCACAACGGGATGATGATCAGCAGCGCTTCTCGGGCTGTGGTTTGAAGGATCAAACCAAATATCGTCGTTGAAGCTCTCTCGCCGTCACCCACGCTTTCCAGCACACATGGCGGTACATCGACAGGTACCTGTCTGCAAATTCCGCAAGTGCGTGTGCTTCCGGGTGGCCCGAGCAGTTTTGCGGCCTTGGCATCCAGGTTCAGGAGAAGAGAGCAACGGGGCCGGGGATCCGCGGGGAGTGTTTCGGGGCGCCGGCCATCTGACAGCTGCGGATGGCAGATTGTCACCTCGTAGCCTGGAGAGCTGAAGTCTCTCTGCATAAAAAATGTCTCCTCTGTGGATCCTCGTCCCTCCTCCCGTCTGGGCCGGCCGCCCACCGTGTCTCCCAGAGTCCCGAGGAAGGAGCCTGTCCTTGGGAAGCGGCCGCCAATGCCGCCCAGGCGCTCTCCAGAAAGAAGGGATGTGGAACAGCATCATGCAATGTAATGCAGTAAGCCAGGAACTCAAAGCCGAAGGTGACATTTCCATAGCAAACTTCCTGTCGATGCAGCCACATCGCGGTCTAACTGTCACAGCATGTCCGATGTCAGCCGCTTGAGCCTTGAACTGTGCCTCATTCGGACCCGTCGCCGGTGGAGCAATTCTCTGCTGAACGCTTCCAGCAGTGCACCACGGCATCCACAGCCTAGCGCATCGGAAGAGATCAAGCGCTGAATACGGTATCAATGCACGCACCAAGCGAGGTTAGATTTTGTCAGGTTAAGACTCCGGCGCGTAGGAATCCAAGTCTGCTATCATGGAGTGGGGCACCTTGGTGGAATTCAAACATTGCATGCGACAAGATTTGCAAGGAAATATGCCTCGATATTGGCGTCGACGTCAAATTTGACACCTCGCATGGACCACTCGTTCGATTTTGTGTTTGCATTTGCAACTTTTTCAATTGATCAAGCACACATTATCTCGCCACTACCACAAAACATTGGAGGTTACAGGGGCCAGTGTATGTCATGGATGACCCTTGATACGGGCCGCTTGACAGTGGTACTCCTGGGTGCGGCTGTAGTCAACTGCACCCACATCCCGCATCTTTGACAGGGACACAATCAACAGAAAGAAAATTCTCCAGCCCACCACCACACACACACACACACACTGCGGCTTGTGGTCGTACTTTGCTGCTGCAGCCGCAACAGCCCCCCCAATACAAAGATCAGCGATGGGAATCATTGAAGACTCCACAGATGACAGAAAGCGAGCTCGCCGTGGCTTGAAGCTTTAAGCACATGTGCTCAACCAGCAAGCCCTAAACCACGCAAAGTTGAGCAGCCAAGTCCCGAACTATCGAATATGTCTGGCGTCTACGTGAGCATCAGCAGCAATGTGGATTTGCTGGTTTTCCCCGTTCTGCGAGCGTGTGAAGAAGCGCAATGCGCCTTCTAGGGTAGGGGAGAGGCAGCAAAACGTGCAGTAGGGACGCGGTAAGGAAGCAGCATGGAGCAGTGGGGCAGTAGGGCATGGTAGGAGACAATAGCGGGCAGTACTGTAGCGGACAGGAGGAGACGTTGGAGGATAAGGGGACAACACTAGAACTAGAGGGACATAGAGGGACGGTAGGAGACGGTAGGTCACAGTCATAGACACTAGCGAGATCTAGCGAGGGGCAGGCAGGAGCTTGCCAAAATCCGCCGAGGCCACAGGCCCAGGCGTCTTGGTTCCCTCCACCCAACCCTCCTCCCTGCGGTCCAAATGTTTGGGGACACCCGCTTTTTGCGTTCGTTTGCCACCCCCTTGCCCGGCTTCCCCTCTTTTTACCTGATTTGTCGGCCCTCCCCCCCCCTCCCAGCCCTCCCCCCCCCCCCCCCTCCCCCTCCCCCCCTCCCCCCCCCCCTCCCCCCCCTCCCCTTCCCTCCCCCTACTGCAACGTTGGAGTAGGAGCGTGCCCTAGCAGACTCCCAACGTTGCAGTAGGAGCGTGCCCTAGCAGGGACCCCTCCCCCCCCCCTCCCCCCCCCCCCCCCCCCCTCCCCTACCCATTCCTCGCACTTCGTATCAACAACCGGGTTTGACAGGCCGCCCTAGCACCCTAGCATAAAAAAACATCGACTGCCCCCTCACCCTGCCGCTACACAGCCGAGGCGGGCGGCGTAGCGTTAAAATTAAGCTCATGCAACGTGCCCAAACCTCCCCCCCAAAAAAAAACAAAAAAAATCGTGTGGTGTACTGATTTGCGAAAACATCAGCTGGATCATCTGAAGCCTTGAGCCGCGATATCATTAACATTCATTAACATACACGGCTCGCAAACCCAGTAAGCTCCGCTGGGGCTGTCACTCAGATGGCGGCCCAACTTCAGGGTGTACGCAAGCCGTTGGAATTCGTGCACCTGTTGGGTAAATACACAAAACTACGCCCTCCGTGTCAGATGCAGCGGTTTAGGGCGTTAGACGCTGCATGCCTAGAATGACCTCGTGCACAAACTAGGAATCTGGCTTCCTGAGACTCCTCGAGAGGCGTGCATCGGGACCTGGATGATCATGGCATCAATCTTGACACACGCACGCACGTGCAGGAAAGAACAACAAATGGACTTGACTCAACGTTAGACATTCTCCGAGAATGAGCGCCCATGAGCGCAGCGGTCATGGGCGATCATTGCAAAGACTCCGGCCCATCCTTTGCGAGCACGTCGGCCTGGCAGTTGAGCAGTTCGACATCACTCGACAGATTCAAAACTTGTGCAGCCTTCTGACCGTCGGGCTGGCTGTCGTGAACACGTGCACCTCAGAGGGACAGCCTACCAGAGCACTATATGATAATATCTGATGTGTAGACAGAGGGCTACTGAACCCTGAAAAAATATCTGAGGCGGATGGAGGGAAGTGCGCAACCGGTGCATGCCGCTGAACAAGGGCGGCAAAGGCCGGAACCATCTTGCATCATCATGGGCACCTCACCATTCTCTCGACCCCGTCGCGTCGTCTTCAGCACGTGTCACTGGGTTAGCTGGGTCTGCTGCCTCCGCCGTGAGATCAAAGTCGGCACTGCCAAGCTCCTGCAAAGCTGAAGGCCCATAGGTTGAAAAGGGGAGCGGGAGAAGAGCGTGGAGCATTTGAGAAGTTAAGAAAGCTCCCTGCGATTCTGCAAATTCTGCATAGCTTTTCAGCTGCTAGCTCTTTTCGAGCAAGGTGACCGGAGAGCTGATCTCAGCACTCAGGGTTTGCGCAAAGGGATACGCTCGCCGCTGTTCGGATATATGGCTGAAGCCGTGCCGTCTGCAAAGAACTCCAATGCTGAGGGATGTGCGGTGCCCGTGTAGTACTGAGAGATTAGGGAATCTGCGAGGACGAAGCTCCCTCCACAGCGATCATGTATGCGTCCGTCTGGCTGCGCAGTATGACCGACGATCATTCTCGATGCTCCTGTGAGCTCCAATGTCTTCTGGACCTCCTGACAGGCCTGAGGCTCTGGACCAAGCGCCAGTTGCCTGGTCCAGAAAGGGCCTTCATCTCCAAGCAACGGCGAAGGGTCCTCCCTCAGATCGCTTGCATCTTTGCCTTCGAGTAGCCGTTTCACAGCACCGTTCAGCTCGTCTGCATCCCCATTTTCGATGAAGTTTGGCAGGAGTCCAGCATGGACAAAAAGGACTGGCTTCGACAACCCATCCTTCGGACCTAGCAATGCCACGGCTTGCATGCGCTGTCGTATGGCCTGTCCAAGCCAACCTTTTGCCGAGAAGGCCTCCGACCTCGAGGAGCTGTCGGCAAGCAACGAAAGCGTGTCCTTCTTCGTGGCATAGCGGAAATCATCCTCCAAGTTCATGAGCTCATGGTTGCCAATGAGGAGAATCACTCGACCACCTTGCTGAGGAGCCTCGTCCTGCAAACGAAAGAGTGCTCGGAAGATGTCGCCAGATTCATCCCCACGATCGGTAATGTCTCCTGTCTGAACCAGAATCGCTGAGCCTCCCGTCCACCCACCGTCATTTCCCATCAGCCCAAGTGATGTCAAGATCTTCACCGTACTTTTGTAATCACCATGTAAGTCGCCGACGGAGTAGACTGACCGAACGTCTGTTTCTAATGCAGATGCAGCTAGTGCACCGCGAGGCGTCAACATGCAAGCAAACAACATCATTGCAGCGCCAGCTGCCTGCCAAACATTTGATATGCCAGGTCTTTGAGATGGAGGTGCTCCATGTCGCACTGTCCGCAGCGGTGCACGCATTCGGCAAAGAGGCTCACGAAGCAAGGAGTTGCAGAAGGAGAGCGTAGCCGTAGAGCAAGCAACCAGCAACAGCAGCACAAGCTTTCGCGCAATGACCATGAAGCGAAGACCGGACACCATAAGGATCCAGGACGCCAAGATGATGCTCTGCGAATGCTAGCACTGTTAACAAACAGATGTGTGTACATGAGTTGTCAGCACCATACACTCGACGCTAAACATAGACTTTGTTCCGTGGAAAAGGACACCTGCGGTCAGGCATCCATTCATCGGGCAACAAGGAAAGCACAAGCTTCAGCAGAAATGTCAAAACCAAGCTAATAAGGATGCGAACAACGTCAATTCACCCCTCCAAACACGGATGGCTCGGCCCCTCTGCACAATTTTCACCGTTGCCAACACGTGAACACTTCTCGGCTCTTTAGGCTTTGGAAATTTGCCGCATGGGTAGCTTTACTTGTAGCAACAACAGCTTGCCTTAGCCTAATCACAAGTGAGGATGGCGGTCATCTTTCTGGTCTCACGTGGGGTTTCATCATCGGTGTTTGAGTATTACCAGCAAAATTTGTAGTGGTAGTAGTAGTAGTAGTAGTCGTCGTCGTCGTCGTCGTAGTTGTAATCGGTATAGTGTTAATAGTAGTTGCAGCAGTAGTAGTAGTAGTAGTAGTAGTAGTAGTAGCAGCAGTAGTTGCAGTAGCAACAGTAGCAGCAGTAGTAGCAGTATTGGCAGTAGTAGCAGTAGTAGCAGTAGTAGGCCAGAGTCATAATCATAGCAATAACAGTAGTCATAGCAGTGGTGATTGCAAGAAGCAATGGCAAGGGTAGTAGGCAGGATGCTGGTAATCGCATGAGTAGCAGACATGTCAATAGCAACAGCAGGAGTAGCAGCAGCAGCGGTAGTAATAGCGATGGCAGGAGCAACCACAATCGCAATTGCTATTGTAAACATAATGGGTAGTGGTAACGGTACTACTAGTAATGGCAATGATCCAGAAGAGGGATGAGCCTGCTGGCCCTGGTGGCCAGCACGCTCTGCACAGACGAGCCAGGAGGTCCCCGATGTGCGTCCCGACATTGCTGTTGGTGGAGTGACCGGCAGGCGGGATCCCATGTCGTCGAAGCCGCCGTCCTGCCTCCTTCTCTTGAAAGGAGGTCTGCTCAGTGGTCCGGATCCGGCAGGACTGTCTGGTGTGATCCCCAGGAAGCAAATTGTTCGAGTCGACTCTAGCCTGGCTCCACCAAGGTGGGCTGCCAGGAGCCCCGGCATTTCTGCATCCATCGGGTGACGGCAACATCCCACTATGGGGCTGGCCCAAAGCCTTCCTGAGGGCGGTCTCCAGCACTCGTTGGACCCCTGCCCATGTCCGTGTGCTCCGGAGGTCGATCTCCAGGTAGTTGCCAAACGCGAGGGATACCCGGCGACGGCCAAGGAAGAAAACCGTTCGCCTACAACCGTGGCCCCACGATCAACAAGTGTTGCCGGGCTCGGGTGGGCTCCAAAGCAGGCCTCTAATTGCCAGAAGTCAACCTGCCGCAGCAAAAGCCAAAGGTCCAGGCCAAGAGCGCGAAGACGACGAGGAGCCACTCGACTGGCGACGCCTCTGACCCCACCTCAACCAGCCCGCCCAGGGGCCGAAAGAGGGAGACAACCGCGAGCTATTATTTGCCACTGCAATTGCCAGTACGACGACAACGGCGACGAGGACTATTACAAGTACTTGCTATTTCCACTACTATTCCGATTACCACTATCTGACTATCTCTACTACCATTGCTATTTCTATTGCTAAACCGACTTCCATCTCCATGGCTATTCCTATCGCCATTGCCAGTACCATAACTATTGCTATTCGTGATCGCTTTCGTTGTCGCCGTGGCTGTAGCAGTAGCGGTAGCGGTAGCGACAGCGGCAGCGGTAGCAGTAGCAGTAATTAGCAGCAGCAGAAGCAGCAGCATCAGCAGCAGCAGTAATTGTAGCTGTGGTAGCAGTATAGTGGTGGGGTTCAACCGGATCCCCAGTCCTGAAGCGCTTTCAGGACTCGGCGCTGCTCATCCAAGTCCTCGCTTCCATGTGCCGACCCTACATGTGGATTCGCACGATTGATTGCAGTGTCTTTAGATCGTGCATGATGTTACCTCTAAGGACTGGTGGCATCGGAAAGTACCACGCACATTCTTCTGCATCGTTCTCCCAGGCTTCAGGACCGCACCTTCAAGCGCTCTTCAAGTTCCGTTGCCGAGACCGTGAGGAAAGGATCCTCTTCCTCCACAGTGGGCAGCGGGCTACATTACCAACATGCTTCCTTGCGAGTTCTGCCGAGTCTGGTGTTCAAGCTTCGTTTCTCCGCAAGAGCTCGAACTCACATTGGCGAAGATGGAAGATCTTCGTCACTGGCATGGATTTCCCAGCCAAGCGGCGGGGAGGAGTCAGTCATTCAGAAATATCGCTTTTCGTGAAGCAAGTCCGGGCCAGCGAAGCCCTGCACCGGACGTGCTTTTGAAATAAGGCGCAGGTCGGGGCCGCCCAGTCTCAAAGAACGACCGGAGCCCCCACTACGACTCCCTCCATTGGCCCAGGAACTGGGCCACCGACCTGTCAGAATCCAGTACCATCTGAGTATCTCGTTAGGGCAGGACTTCATGAATCTGCAGAATGCATCTAGTCGCCTGTTAATCTGTGTAGATGTGTCAGAAAGCCATGACTTGTCAGGATCCAACAGATCAGCAAAAAGCTCGTGAGCTGCCTCCAACGAAATACCGATGACGCTACCCTTGAAGTCGATCTGGTTTAGGGCTTCTTCCCTGGCTCGGAGCACATGGAAGACGCGGTAACAAACACGACTCTGCTCCATTGTTCACATGCCTTTTGAGCTGCTTTGTAATCGCACCACCTAGGAGAGAAGCATCAGGACAGTCGAAAATGAGCACTGACAAGATGAAGGCGGCCCACGCAAAGTCGAGTTCAGATTTCCTGTCCGAGGCGCGGAAAAGCGTGATCCATCCCTCTCCTCGACGCAGGTGGCATTGAGAAAGTGGTCCGAGACGATCTTCCAGGGTGCCTTCAGCAGCAACCAGGACCAGATGTGAACGGTGGAACCAACGGAGTTCAATGTTTGCCCCAGGCAGTGAATGCGACCAAGCGTCGGCGAAAGCTTGAATCTTTTGGGTACAAGCAAAGGCTATCTTGTCCTGGTACACTCTTGTCCTCATGCAAGATTTCTTTGCATCACCGTTGGCGGCCGGAGGTTGCGGAACTGAGGGCAAGGCTGTGCTAACCTCCAAAAGACCACCATCGTATTGCTCGATGGCGGCCTCCACAGGCTCCGTCATTGCGGAAGAAAACTGACTCCCACCTCTAGCAAACCTCGCCTGAGCGTACTCGGGGCTTACAAAGGCGATGCTGGCACAATCTTCGGTAAGCGTACATTGAACGACGGGGCCAACATGACGCTCAAAGACGTACTGCACTTCCTGTGGCGGGGGTCAGGCACACATCCAGCACGCAATGACGGTGGATTATGCATCATGAGTAGAGAACGAGCTGCCCGAGCAATGCTTGCAGCACGGAGTCCTGGTGCTTCAACCTTTTGACAAGGTTTGAGACCTGCCAAAGGAAAACGCGGCACTGTGCCACCGGCAATATGCGTCGTACCACCATGCCTTGACACGGGTGAATGCACTCCTGACAAAAAGCTGGCGTCTTGAAGCTACAAGAAGATAACCATGACAGAGGTATCTTTGCAACCCTTCACTGCATTTGGGTCATGCTGGGCGAAACAATCACCCCTCCTCATATTGGAAGGGAGCTGTGATATCGTCTCCCACTGCGCAGTCAAACCAGGTGGCGGCACCATTGCACCCTCGGCGCAACTGGCACGTTAAGGAACCGAAGCCAAGCGGCTCGATGTGGCACTACTTGCAGTCTAGAGTCAACCTTCGCGTGGGCAACTGATGTTTCGCGCCCGGCCTGTCGTCCAAAGCTGCCAAGTAAGGGAAAATGCCACCAAGAAATTGGTCAGCCAGCCACACAATTGGGGCAAATGACATGCATTGCCACGGCTCGTTTGAGACATGCTATGGAAAGCCCTGTGTGTCTTCCTGACCGACATCTAAACTGACACAACAAGAAAGAGGTGACTCTACAGGGAATGAGCAGGCGTTTTGAAGCTGGCCGGCCAAATCAATCGCGCATGCAGGGATTAGGTTGACTTGATTACATTGCTTAACATTATGCATACATGCAAACCTCCCTTCCTTCCTCACTCCCTCCTTGCATGCGTGCGTGCATGATTTCATGCACGTATATGCACGTGTGCATGCATCATCATGCATCCCTGCATGCATGATAATGCATGATAGTGCATGCATGCATGCTTTCACTTTCACTTTCGGCGTTGCAGAAGATCCGGCTTCAGCGAACGAAAATGCAGACAAGCTTCAAGCCCGGCGCTCTGTTGGCGCTGTGCATTGCACATCTGTGTTGAACCCTCCCAGGAGAGGAGGTTTTCGGCACTAGTGCCCTAAAGCAAAACCTCGTTGTGGCTCGCCAGCTTCGTGTAGAAAAGCATGTAGATATCTTGAAAGTGACTAGCAACAGTATCATACGAGGTCCGATAAGCCGGCATATCATCATCAGCAATCCAATACTCGCAATTATCAACACCATCGAACAAGATAACAGTATAATGGCCACATTGGAGAGAGGAGCCCTGGTGTACCAGTGCTGCACGGAGGTGAAAGACAGTATCGTAGGTTTCAACACCATCCTCAAAGCAAGGCAGCTTGATACACGATTCAGGGACAACAGCGAAACGGCGCTTCACACTACGACCCTCAGCAGCCTGGTACCTAAATCTCCCCACTTGTATGGCGAGCACTGCTGGCAGGACTGTGGCCGCATGTGCGTAATCCTGATTTCGCCATTCATTGATAAGTTCTTGCACACTCGTACTGTACAGATGGTCCGAACTCACTCTTTCGGGAGGCTGGATGAGGATTGGCGCAGACTCACCCCCGTCCACTATCATTGGCTCACCAGCTCGAGATGAGCGAGCTTGCCAGTACAGCAGCATTTGGTCCGCAGTAAACCTCTGTTCCCGCAGAAAGTGTGCCAGGAATTCTGCACAATCATGTTGGCGTGCAGGTTCCCGCCATTCGCTCATTATAGCCATCCAAAACGGTTGGCTCCACAGGTGTGTGGTCCCCTGCTGCTCAAGCACTCCCCGGATGAACTTGAGCATGGCCCCATCAAACATCGTCTCAAGACCGCCCCTGAAAGCAGCAACATACATCAAGCACTTCAATGCCGCATTGGAGTAGCAGTAGTTGCCCCGGTTCCCCAGCTGTAGTGCCCTTATTTCGTGAGGGCTGCCAGCTTTTGTCCCAATGCACTCCTGTGCATGGTCTCCGCCCGGAGGAACGTACCTGCCGCTACCCAGCATGCCGAGCGCTCCAGTTGATGAAGTCGTCGCCAGACTGCCTGTGCAGCCTCCACCCGATTGCCAATCTCGAGCATCATCGTCAATGTCGGTGACTGGTAGTCCGAGGCCAGTTTCCTTGTCGCGTGGTATCTTGATACCACCAAGTCCTGGGGGCATTTGACCAGGATCTCCGCCAAGGCCGCTTGGACTTCCTCTGTTGCCAGGGGCTTGACCGTGGTGTCCTTGGTGTGGGTTCGATTCTCCGCGTCCCATTTGACTCCGTTGATCTGGGTGCCCTCGTCGTTCATCCAGCCCAAGGACGCCGCCGTTGATCTTGCCGAGGGGGTAGACACCATCTTGTCGACCTTCTCGATCACCGTCTTGATAAAGTGCTGGAAGAGTAGCACCCTCATCGGAGACGACAGCTTCTCCGGTTCCTTGGCCTTCATGGCATGCCACTTCTGCGCCAGCGTGTAAGTGGATTTCGCCACGCTGTCCGCCATATGGGTCTGCATGAAAACCACGAAGGCAGTGTCTTGCCTTTGTATCAAGATCTGGGCTTCCTGCCGAAGGATCATGTTCGCCATCATGTTGATCATGGCCTTGCACTCCTCCGGCATCTCTTCGCCACTCCATGGGTCGTGGTGGGGGTAGGGTTGCCTCTTGCTCTTGCCCTTGCCTTTGCCCTTGTTCTTGCCCTTCTGAGCGTGGTTCTCCCATTGTCCCCGCCACTGGCTTGGCCAAGAGTTTTGGCTTTGCCAGGAGTTGTCGTAGGTCTCCTGATCCCTCGCTCGCTTTTCCGGTCCTCCTTTGCCTCGGCCTTCGCTGCCCTTGTTGCCGTCCTTGTGGTACTTGGGCTGAGGCTCGCCAAACCAGGAATCCTGAGCTCTTTCCAAGGGCTCCTCCACCGTCCCGGGGTTCACTGTCCTGTTGGGCTGATTGGTCACCTCCGGGGGCGCAAGAGCTCGAAGCAGCTCCAGTTCCTTGGTCGCCTCCGTCATCTGCCTCACAGGCTCGGCCTCCACTTCCATGGTCATCACCTTTGATGATGAGGTCTTGTAGAGGGCGTCCTCTGGCTATCCTAAGGTGAAGGTATACCCCACTGAAGATGCCGATGCATGCCTTAAGATGCGCAGATTTGCGTTGATAGACGAGGCCACAGTACTGACAAGGATTGGTGATGCTCAGGTCGCTCTGTACAATGAGTTCCTCACTGCGTTCGATCAGGGCCCTTTGAGCAGGATGCTTGAGGAGCATGTGTCGCTTGACATACTGATGTTTAACTGTCCACAAGTTGCACTCTGGGCAATGCTGGTGCTTGTTGCGAACATTGGGGTGCAAGGCCAGATCCCTCCACGAGCAAATGCCTGCAAGTTTTATGATCTCGGGATTCTCAATGATAGCCTCGCTCTCCACAGGTGCATGCGTAGCGGTGGAGCCAGCTTCAAACAGAGCTTGGAGAGCAGGGCAACTCCTAGCATTGATGTGATAGAAGAATGCTGGCCAGGTCGTGAATGCATGATTGCAGTGTCTACAGAGTGGCATACCGTCCTTGGCATGTGACATAGCCTCCCCTCGTAAAACACGACGGTTTTCAGTCACAGTTTGGAGTTGGGTTTCCTCATCCATATGTTGTCGAAACACATGTCTTTTGAGGGCAGCCTGCGTGCCATAGGCCAGTCCGCATACGTCACAACAGTGCTGTTCAGGAAGAATGTCTTGTACAAGCTGCAGGTGGTTACCAGGAGGGGTCTTGCCTATGTTGTCACAGGATGCCCTGGCTTCCAGAATCTGGCCCCTCACAAAGGCTCGCCATTGTAGTTGTGCGTCACCTGGGCGAAGGAGCACCGGGCAATGTGGGTCTGCCTGACCGCGTCGATCTAGGGCCTGGATAAGACGACGTAGGGGGTCAGGTAGTCGCAGTCGGCGGGCGAAGTCCTGGTGGGATTCATGGGTGAACATGCTGAACGAGTTGGCAATCGCCCGGGCTTGTTTGAAGTACATGATCATCATCTGTGAGGCCTCGTGCGGTGGAAGCCCTGTGCAATCCAGTCCGTGGAGCAAGGTTGGTAGGATCGTGCCTTGCCAGAGAAGAAGTCTGAGTCTAACCGACACATCACGGCACTTGAGGATCACAGCCAGCCTTGAGTAGGCCCCTTTGGCCAGGTCCATACGGTGTTTGGCCGTCTCCTGGTCGTGCCTCTTGAAGCTGATGATCATTCCTAGGTATGTGTGTTTGGCAACCACTTTGACATATTCCGGCATGCCATGAATTGTGAACTTGAGGAACTTGCCCTTCCATTGTGGTCTTTCCACCAGGTATCTGGAGAGGCAGGCTGCTGCACCTGGGCCCTGGAGTTCGATGAGGGCAACCGTCTTTTCAATGCTGACAAGTACCCCACGGTCCCTAAGGCCTTTGAGGATGTGTTTCATGGAGTTGTACGCGTCCTCCATGTCCCGGCCTGTGCGTATGGTCCAGCCAAAATGAAAGTCATCGGCATATGTTGTGTTGCTTGACGTGATGTCGAGCAGCGGCGGTTGGTGGAGTCGTCTGAGCAGCCAGCTCGAATAGATTGTCCATAAGATGGGAGCTAAGCCACATCCTTGTCTCAAACCTCGGCCCAAAGATAGGTGGGCTTGGCAATCGCCATGTGTCACACGGATCTGGGCCTGCTGGTGAATGAGCAGGATCAGTTCGATGAGGGCCTCCGGTATTTCCGCCTCACGCAATGCAAGGACTAAGTCGCTCCACGGCACTCTGTCGTACGCTTTGGAGATATCAAGCGAGAGGTGCACTCCCCCGCACACCTGTGCTGCTCGTCTCCCAGCCCGTCTGGCGTGGAGGTTGGTCGCCTGATCTCCCAGCAGCTTTCGCACCACTGCGCAATGGCTCGCCACGCGCTCAAGCGCCATACTTAGAGACCTGCCCCCAACATACGCAAACTGAGGCACAGCCTGAAGGTAGTTCACCGCATAGGGCTGCAGTCTGGCCGCGATCATCGCTCCTAGAACTTTGGCCTGTAGCGAGAGCAGGTTGATTGGCCGTAGTTGGTCAGGGGAGCACAGATTCTTACCCGGCTTTGGGAGGAGGATGAGCTCAGATACGTTAAAGCCGGCCGGCAGGGTGCTGGTGCCTTTGGTCAGGTAGTAGTTGATCTGCTGCTGCAGGGCTGGTACGACCTGAATCATCGCAGTTTTCCACAACACTGCGTGAGCACTTGTGGTGGGCATGGCCTTGCCCGCCGCGAGACGGCCAAGGGCTCGATGGACTTCCTCGGTCGTGAAGCACACGTCCTCTGGTAGCATGATGACTGTGCACGGTGGGCCCGAAAATAGAGACATGAAGTAGTCTTTGATTTGCTTGAATTCCGCCTCCCGAGACTGGATGCGACCTTCCTCGGATCGAAGTTGTAGTCGTCGCCTCGCCTGTTTGGGGGCAAATTTCTTCGCAGCTTGATGGATATTGTCCGCTTGCACTGCCTCCAGGATACGTAGGGTCTTTCTTCTCCTGCATTCTTTACGAAGGTTGCGAGTGACAGCCTGGAGCTTTGCTGTAGTCGCCCACGCCTTCCACAGCGTGTCCAGGGGGGGGACGTCCTCCGGGTCTCTTGGGTGACCTGCCAGGGCCCGTAGCTCGGCTCGGATCCGCCACATTGAGCTGATCGTGTCACGGACAACTATCTGCTGAGTCTGTGTCGCAGATTCCAGGCCACCATCCTCCGAGGGGCCCTGTCCCTTCTGTTGGGCCTGTTGGGCCTGGGCCCATCCTTGTTGCAGGATCTGGTCTAGGCTGTCCGTGGGCACACACCTCTCCAAGGCTGGGGCCACAAACTGAAGGTAGTGGTCCTTTTTCTGAAGGTCAGCCATCGCCTTCTGAACCTGAGCAGGTCTTTGCCGAATGTGGGTGTCTTTGGGCTTCGTGGGCAGCCTGGGCATGGGGATCGAAGCATGGACTGGTCGATGTCGGCAACCACTGCAGGGTTCGAACGGTGTCGAAATGGGGCAGGCTCTCCTGGCTACAGCATCAGCAAGATCATCTCTGGCGATCACAAAGTCAATCTGTGTGCCAGTCTGAGCACCCTGCTCACCCGGGGGGATGAAGGTTCGCTGCATCAGTCCTGTACCCGTCCAGGTGTTCAGCAAGCAGCAGCGATGAAGTCGGAGGATGTCCTGGAATGCTTCCTGGTCCTTCTGCTGGACCTGTTGTATCACCACACCTGGCCCACATATGTCGGGTTCTTCGATTGCCGGAGTGTTTAGGTCCCCGGCAATGAGACATCCGTGCCTTTTTGGCACGGTCCGTAGCCACTGTTCCGTCAGCTTCCAGACCTTTTGCCGTTGCTTGAGCAAGGCCGTCACTTTGTGGCCCTCAAGGGATACCTTGCTCGGGTTCCATGAGTACTGATATATTCCCAAGATGTCCAGCGGTGCCTCAAAGTACAACCGCACGTGTAGCATCCGACCTGGTAGGCAGCTGACATGGCGGATTTCCGAGTCAGGGATCATGCCCTTCCTAAGCAGACACATTATCCCAGTCCGGTCTGGCCCTGCTGAGTGGATCACGTGGTAGCTGATGTGGTTGTGGTTCGTTGGCGTGGCCACATACTCCATGTCCTGTTTCCAGCATGTTTCCTGTAAGAACAGTACATCCACCGGGTGGCCTTTGTCCGTCTCTGCAGCGAGCCATTCCAAGATCTCAGCGTACTTGGTGGTGCTGAGTCCTCCCGTGTTCCAAGTCATAACTCTGAGTCGTCGATGAGCCCTGCTATTGGGATCTGGCCTCGTCTTGCTCCTTGGGAGCAGTCTGGGGTCACCTGAGGAGAGCTGGCTGAAGTGCATTTGTTGTCCTCGGTACCATGTTAGCCCCGAGGGGTTCCGTGTCGCTCTGTGGTACGCTCTGCGGAGCGCTCTCTTCCGAATCACTCCTGGGGGGTGAACCTGGGCTGAGTGGCGGCTAACACCATGCTTCGCCCAATTGTGGTCAGTCGTGACCTGAGATGTGGCTTCTTGGTTCCAGTGGTGCTCTGGGAACCAAACCCTCGCATCTGTCGTTGCATGCATGGCCTTTGTGGTATGGATCATGATGTAGAACAAGAGAGTAGAGACTCGTAGCGAGATAGTGTTCCCTCTTATGCAACGACCCCAGGACTTGGGACCTGGGCGGCTCAAAGATGAACTGAGAATGCGACCATGTGGGAGGCATACGGCAGGCAGTGTAGCTCTGTTGGTGCACCTCGGAGGGCACGTCTCCATATTGTGGTGCAACAGGTGTCTGCACTTACACGCAGTCACAAGGAGGAAGGATGACAGGATCACTGTGTCAGGTCTGAGCTGGTCACCCTGCAGGTAGGCAAGAAGCAGGATGCGGCAGACCTGGCTCATCAGGTGGTACACAAGCAAAGAGCATAGTGCCACCAGGCAGGTAGACAATGAGGCCCGTGCCAAGTTCGTCCGGGGAGTCGTGGTACTGTACCTCCCAGGCCATTGGGCAATCCCCACTGCTGGAGTGTGTACCAGGTACATGCACCGGCCCTTCAGCAGATCCGCTCCACGCTTTATTTTGTCGCCCAAGGTCATCAGGAGGCGTTCAAAAGGCAGGCTATCCTGGAGGTACTTTCGACCGAGGCCCATTTGCCCTGTGCAACGCCCTCGGCCAATAGTCCTGAAAAGCTCCCTAGAGCTTGGCCCCTTCAGATTACGTACTGTCCTCGCGTCGGCGCCTGAGACGGCTGGGTGTTCGAGGATGGATCTGTGTGGGGTTCCGCTGTAGTAAAGCTTATGCTGCCTAAGGTTGGTCACACTCCGTTGCAAATGAGGCTGCGACTTGCGGTTGGCCTTCGGCTTCGGTGTCGGAGGAGGCGCCGGATCATCATCAGCATTTGCCCTTCTCCCACGCCTGGGTCCAGAGTTCCCGGTGCTGGGCCTGGCCGTAGAGGGTTCGCTTGAGCCCGATGCCATCATCGTTCCGGTGGAGCCAGTGTCCTCGGCCTCATCGCCCAGTAGCTCCGCCAGCGTGCCATCCGCCCAGACCACCCCCCGCGTACCGGCTGCGGTTCAAGGCTTCCCCAATGACGGTGGGGTTTCCCGTGTCATCATCCGTAGGGCTTCCTGTCCACAGGGCCAACTCGTCACCTGTCTCATTGGCTGCCATCCTTCTGATGTTGGCCGTGAGCATGGGGACCCTGGTGTCCGGTGCCACGATGTCAGAGTCCAGCCGCGTGAGGATCACCTCAGTGGGGTGTCCTCGGCGCAGAAGTGTGTCTGCAATGGCAGCCGACAGCATGTAAGACAGCTGCCTGTCTTCAGCTGCAGGTCCCTCCGTTGCACCACCCTCGTCTTCGCGAGGGCCATTGGCCCCCCACCGCAGGACATTCGGATGTCCATGGTCGGAGCCTCTCATGGGTTCCAGGGTCACTCTGAGTGACGTCAAGGTCGAGCGATCCCACTCGTGCCACTGCCCTTGCCACTCTGTGCACGAAGGCTTGCTCCGTCTGGATGGGTCGAGGAGGCGGCGGTCCTGCCAACGCCTGGCCTGGCGGTCGCGGGGGCATAGAAGGGCTCTCCACCCAAACCTCCTCCATCTCTTCGGAGGAGTCAGCCATGGTTGATGCCTCTGGTGAGGCCTTGTGGGCCTGAAGGGCTCTCCAACTATGAGCCAACGAGCTGTAACATGGGATATGCTTCGCAAGTTCCCTCAGCAGGCCAGCTCTCAGAATTCCCATTGTCTGACAAAAGCACTGCAGACATGCATGCCATGATGTGCAGGGGCACTGGATTCGCATCGAAGGAGGGGCCGTTTGAGTCAAGGCCGCCTGTGTTACAAACATGCCCATCACGTAGATCCCAAACCCAGCACACAGGCACAGACTAATTGTTGGAAACATGGTCAATCTGAGTGCCTGCTCGGTTCCCGGCAGGCCGCCAGTCCAGCCACTCTTCTGTAGCCTGAAGGCTCCTCGCAGGGTTCTCCTGAGGTCCCGCATTGGGCTGACCCGACCTTGTCGGGTGGCTTCAATCCAAAGTCTGCAGGTCAGGATCTTGGCAAAGATAAACACAGTGCAGTAAAGCCAGGGCAAACTGTTTATCGAAGTGCAGGGTGCGCTCAAGTAGCAGTAGTTTGCCTGCTCCATCGAGGAGGGTCCATCCCTCATGCCATACCTGAAACGCCCCAGCATACCTCCACTGAATGTCCAGGCGGTGTTGCTTGTGTCGCAGTGCCGTGAGTGAGAGTCGTCTCCACTGCTGTGCAAGAGCGCCCAGCACCACATACCGCACATAATTGCCAATCCTATCACTGTATAGCAGTCTTGCAGGCAGTCGCGGGATTTTGTTGCTGCCATGCACCGCCACCTCCACCATCTTATCTTTATCCATGGCTGCATGCAGCCACAGCTACTTCTACCTGTCGAGACCTCCCTTGGTCTCCGTCGCTCACATCTAAGCCGAGATGCTTATGCATGCATGCATGCATGCATGTGTGTGTGCGCGCATGCTTTCTCATGTACTTACAACCTTGATAGCATACCTTCCTGTGTACCTTCTTGCTTGCACAGTGCGTGCGTGCACATGTACATTGCATCACACAGATTCAGCGATATACAGCATGCAAGTATACGGGCATGCAGACATAGACACACGCATTTACATATAGATATCCAAGTACATGATTGTCCATGATTCCTGCATTGAATCATTCCTTATTCCTCCATTAGGTGTGTTTCACTTCCTCACTTTCTTCCATGCCATTCCACTCCATTCCTTCATTCATTCATTCAGTCAGTCAGTCAGTCAGTCAGTCAGTCAGTCAGTCAGCCTGTCAGCCTGTCAGTCAGTCAATCGGTCATGAACAAACACATTCCAGCACTGATTCGTCCGTAAGTTCATTCAAGCGTCCATAAGCTTGATGCATTCGCTCAAACAGCTTTTTGTAGCTTTAAGTGCCAACATAAGTCTATGTGCTTATCTCATTCCGTCCGATTGGGCTACGAGCATGCTGGAAAAACATGGAATCACGCTTGCATAGAGGGGTGCGTTTATGCACGCGAACGGTACCACGGATTTCAAGCAACGCTTGACCCTGCACCTGGTTCTCTTCGGAAACCTTGCAAGAGCTGTGTGCTTCCGGCAGTGTGGGACGGCCAGCAACATTGCTGCCAAGAGGCCGCAGCAGCACCCGCCATCAGAGAAAGGCCAGGAGGTCCACTGGCAGCCGCAGAAAAGGCCTAGGCATGAAGTGGCATCAAGACATGTCAGACAAGAACTTCCGGTAATCCGACTAGGCTTGGGGATTGGGGAGGGGAGTGTGCAGAACACAGTCAAGGTAAAGGGGGTGTGCGCTGGAAGCTGGCGGATGCAAAAGGTCCCTATTGCATGTAGCTGCCACCGTGCGCAATGCAGCAAAGTCTGGCTCATAATCCAAGCACCTGACCTTGCGGCCGCCAGATGCCTGAAAGCAAGTCTTCACACAAGAGTCCTCCGGAAGATGAGAGGATTCAGCAGTCTGACACGCAAGGTCTAGGTCTTTGGGTCAGTGGTATCCGCACACTGTGCACTCACTGCAGTGCAGCTTGCCCACGAGGGATCTCAAGCCGAAAGGCCTTGTCCGCAAAGGCACTTGGCAGTTCATCGGGCTGAGGTGGGTGAGCTTGCCTTCGAACACCAGTTCACACTCAACTCAAGACCGTCCACCTGTTCCGTGGCTGCAACGAGCGTAAGCAAGCCCTGATTTTCATCGAGGATCTGAAAGTATGTGAGGGCCGCAATTAGCCTCAGGCTTGCAAAACGCGGCAGGGCAGGTGTCATGACAGATGGATGTTTCCAACGGCGCCAGCACGATATCTTTCAGCCAAGATGCTCTTCCACCGGGATGTCGATGCTGAGTGATACTGTGATTGCTGGGACAGCTTTCTCTCCAGCACCTTTTCCCAGTGTCTTGCTCCGTATTTCCACACCTGCCGAATAGCAGGATGGCACTTGATTTGAGAGGTCACTAGGTACCTGGCCTGAGCACGACGTCTGCACCGGTATTGAACACTTGACCATCGCCACCCTGCAGTCTTCGACAGTGGTCTTGACTTCTTGTGGCGCAAGTGTGACTCAGCGATCTGTTGCAAACCCTTTTGTAGCAGTGGTCGGTCCCACCTCTGCTTCTCTCGCGAGTGCTAAGCAGAGGGATCTCCGATGCTCAATCAAACAAGCGCCTACAAATTCGGGTGCTGCAGAGTCATTGTCCCCATGCGTGTGCCAGATGCAATGTGTGCATTTTCTGTCCGACTGCCGCCGTTCTCTGTCTTGCCTTCACGACTTCGTCTCGAGCCGAGAAGGCTCGTTCCGTCTCAGAATCCGCCAGTGCTTCATTGCGACATGCCAGGGCTCGACAGAGCGAGCTGCGAGCCTCGTAGTACACAGTGGCTTCCGCTCTCTTGTCTCGGACGAACTCCTGTCGCAGTGAGTCGCGTCTGCATGTACCCTTGCAGTCCTTTCCAGTCCGAACCGTCAGGTTCACTCCGGGTAGCGGCCTCATGCGCCCTCAGGTCCATGGTAGACAGAATTGACCTGTCACAACTCAAAGCTCGTTGTCTGCTCTGCAATCTTGACTGGACCAAGTGGACCAGGTTCCACAAGCCAAAGCTACAGCAATCCATATCACAAGCACGGCAGCTGTGCATCTCAATCTTTCGGCCCAGGATGCTGAGCTTCAGCCCACTGACCTGTGCTTGACGTCGGAAGTTTGTGCTCCTCCGTCCCTCACCAGCCGTGTGCAACCTCTGAGGGGCCGACGACATGTTCAGCCATCCGAATCAACAGCCTCATCACATTCTGGTACCTTCAGAGACAGCGAAAGCGCGTTGTCGCAGCGAGCTGCAAGCCTTTTTCCAATTCGCTAAGATTGGCACAATTGGCTCTCGATGCAATCCGGCATCCAGACTAAGTTGGTCTCCTGGGTAGTTTTCCAGGAAGGGGCAGTGCCCATGGAATCTTTGTGATGGCAGGGGTCCCGTTTCGGAAGAAAGCGAGGACCGACATGACATGCTTTTGAGGTCTTGACAGCACAAATACATGACGCATGAGCACCGAAGACCATAAACAGCTACTACAATCACATCCAGGAACCGCTACCCTCTGAGTCGCGGCCTGGTCACTAGCACTAGCAAGGCGACCTCTTCGAAAAGAGTAGGGCCTAGGGGGCCGGCAAGTTCCTACAAGAGGGAACGGGCGAGCAATGGCAGGAGATAACGGAGGGGCATAAGGCAGACCTCCCCGTGCTCTTGTCAAGCACAACACGCACGTTTCACCAGGCAGGCGCTCCTTCAGTCGCCAGGATGTTGACTACAAATCGTTGTTGGCTTGACTGCAGATATGAGGAGAACCATGCACGTTAGAGAGGAGGAAGCTGTGAGAGTGACTTACGAACACTTGAGGTCGCTCCTCGACCGCGCACGTCCACCGAGCACTGGCATGCACTAGTGGCCGCCGAAATCAAGATAGGACTGAATCAAAAAAGACGGCACCTAGCCCTGCACTCAGACTCAGGTGGCGATGACGAGGATGCCGATGGTGAGCAAGCGGACATCACCGGGGATCGTGAAGCCAAGGTCTTGGCCCCCAAAAACAGAGAGGAATCAGGTCACCTCTGCGCCGAACGGCTCGTTCTTGGTCGCAAGCAAGGGCAATGACTGATTGCCCATTTGGTCAATGAGGCCACAACGGACAGCGAGTACCCAAAGCCCCTTGAACACGGCGGCTAATAACAATTTGGGGGACACAGCGAAATACACTTCAGCAACTTCGCCCAACGCACGGGCAGGGCATAACAGGGGACATGAGGAGGGTGGACAAGGGTATGGAAAAAGGCTGCATTCCGAGGCCCGGCGAAACACATCTGGCTCTAGCAGCTCTAGCACTGTGCATGCTCTCCTCATCTGCGAGGAGTTCATCGACAAGTTCTGCCAGAACAGCCTGTCGACCGTCCATTGCGAGTCGCACACGCTCTCACCCTCAACAACATCTCTGCAAAAGGCCAACGGAGAGCGCAGATGAGGCGTCCCCTGGGTCCTGCCTCATCGATCTGGCAGTGCTTCACAGGATTCTCCTGCTTTCAGTGGGAGGAGCACACAAGACCAAGACAGCGGCTGCAAGGCCTGAAGCATCTGCTTTACCAACTGGAGGGGTTGAGCCTGGAAGGGAAGTTTGTTCTCCAGAAGAGGACTGGCCTCTTCCAACTCAGCTCCCGGCTTCCAGTTCGAATTTGACCTTGTGGCCTGATCCAAACCGAGTCTCATTCGTTAGCTTCAGATGGTGCAGGGAATTTGCGGATCTGGCTTCGAGTCGGCATGGCATGGCATTGAGCATCGTCTCATCTCATGGTCTGACGGCAAAGTGTCCGGACAACAGAACCTCAAAATCTACAGATACCAAAAGTGTTCAAGTGGAAATAAAGGACCTTCAGCTAGGCCTTCCACCTTTCAACACTTGCTGCGTAGCTCTGGGCTATTGTCCTGTCAACACGCCTTCTCCCCGAATACTCCGAACTTCCGAATGAAGTGCAAACTCGCTGTGAAAGAAGGGATCCACTCGGATATGACAGCAGGCAAACTTGTTTGCCAGGTGACCCATGAAATGGATTTCTTCACCATCTCCAGCCAAAAGGTCCTCAACCTTGGAAGCTTCGGAAACAATCCTTGACAGATTTCCCTGCAGATTTCCCCCGTGCTAGTGAGATGAGCGGGTACAAGTCATAACCTCGACAATGAGTGCCTGAAAGTCAGGACAAGGATGCTGCAGAAAGTCACATGTAGATAAATATTTCAGCTCGCTGCAGGAAGCCGCCAAAGGAATCAAAGCTAAGGGCGGCGTTTGGCTCCCTGAGGCGGTGGCCAGCTGGAAGACGACCATGATGCAGTTGATCTGGCACGGCCCCCCCCCTCCCCCCCGGGCCCCGAGGACTCTCTGGGAGTCTGGAAGCTTGTGCGGCGGCGTGTGGGAACTTGGAGGTGTTCTTCGCAGGCTCCCAGAGTGTCGAGCATGTTATGAAGCTATGCGACTAAAAGGGGAAGGCGTCTTCACATGAACCTTCTATGGGCCGACACTTTCAACAGCCGGCATCTCAGGCTCTGGCATAAAGGCGGCGCTGTGTTGAGCGGGGAAGCCACGGGAGGTGAAAGCGTTGCGACAGGAGCATCATGTCAACAACAGCTTCTAACTGAGCGGAGCCAACCTTGCTGGTCTGAAATGTGGGAAGATGTCTCGTCAGATACCCCTTCGAGGTCACTTGCAAGGTGTGTCCCCAGACAGATGCGTCGTTCAGTGTCATCAAGCATCTCTGGAAAGCGAAGACAAGCAGGCGGGCAATGTCCACGTACAGCTTGTGCTGAAAGCTGTAAGACAACAGAGGAATCATCTGAAGTCGCCCAGCACTGGACATGTCCTGTATGTACCTCTCGATTTGGTCGCCTCCCTCACTTGCCCTCCCTTCCTGCCGAGCTTGCCGCATGAACTGAACAAATTGACGTGGGGTCATACGGGATTGTTCCGTGTCGGTGTTTCCAGCATCTGGAACACGACCGCGAGAGATCTTGACACGAGTCTGCGAGTTCGGCAGGCTTGGGTGAAGAATCCGGACTTGCAACCCCAAAGCTGAAAACACATCATTCGCAGCCTCTGCTGTCGAGACAGCACTCGACACAACGGCCTCTCGCGCTTGGCTCCTGATGCCGCCATCCTCTGCTTGCGGTATCTTTCGTCCTTGGGCCTGCTGGACGAGTGAGTTGCCAACCTTCGCTAGTTCCAAAGCTGCAGAGCCCACGATCCCTGGAAGCTTCCCAAGCGCCTGCTGACTAAAACTGTTGACGGTGTTCGATGTCAGGGCCAAAGCGCGCGCCGCATCGTCGAGCTGAAAGCCCGTGCGACTTTGGGCCAATGACCGAATTGCGGGCCATTTCACAGGCATCAGTCTCCTTCTCCGTCTGCATGGCGGCACTCTGCTCCTTGCCTAAACTGTTCGTGTATAAAGTTGGAAGGGTGAAGAAGCGTGTCAATACAGACAAGACTCTCCTTTGTGCAGTCCGGCGGAACCACTGCCGGGAGCAGGGCGGCGGGGGGAGTTGGGAACTGTCGCAAAAAGCTTGCCTCCTACGATGCCACTATTTTCTGTTCCGTTTTACAGCGCATGTGGCAAAAATCTGTTGTTGTACCAAACTTGAATATCACTATCATTGCTTCTAGCTTTACCACGAGCCGAGAAGCCACGCTCGTAATCGCAAGTACGGGTACATGCTATGACCCAGCCTGCGGAGTATCCATCAATCAAACTATGTTTAACATGCCGGGCACATGCAAAAGCCATAGTTTGGACTCTAGGACGCTGAGGGAAGACCAGGCAACCATCACTTGAAAAAATCAACAAACAGCTCTGGCACAAAACTGAACCACGAACTAAAGGACAGGGTCGATCCAAACCACCCTGCAAGTCGATACTTTGCGTGTTCGAGCAGGCGACTTAGGTTCCCATGTCTCTCACAGGATGTACAGAAAATCAAGAACATCAACTTTCTCGATTTCCCATGTGTCTCGTCCCCGCACCCTGTCGTACACACCCACAGAGAAAGGATCGCCTTTTCTCCTGGTAGTGGTCTGGCGCATGTGGAGGATGCTGTATGCCACTTTATGGCGATACGAGATGGCACGAGCGCGAATTTTCCGCCAGGAAGCATGCGTCATGAACTGCTTTGACCGAACATAACGGATGTTGTCGATTGCTTCTCTGCTTCCCTGAGAAGCTAGGAGACCAGGAAACCACCGCACACCGAAGCCTGCGGCTCCGTGACTCCCTCACTTTCCTGGCAGCGGAAGGCACTTTCATGTGGTCGCAGAATATACCGCTATACTTGAAAACAGGGCAAACGAAAGCCAATGGGAGGGAAGCTCGGTGTATTGCAGATGCGAGCAAATGCCTGTAAGCGGATGTTAGTGATGCAGTGCTACTTGTATGCTGTGTCTCGCAGTGGTTCATAAAACCCTTAGCCGCTTAGGCCTGAGCTGAACGACGTATGGCAAAGCTAGTCCCTCAATGCAAGAATGCGTGAACAGGAAGCAGTCTTTGGCAGTGCTGGTGTCTTCAGTTGTGCCGATGTACACTGCAGCGGTGTGTTCGAATTACAGCGCGTCTGCTGATGTTGTACTGACCCGTTCAAGTGGGGCCGGGAGGGGGCTCAAGGTAGGCCCCCGTCCTGGAGGGCCTCCCGGTTGAGGCTTTGGTGCATCAGCAACAAGGGCCCTTGAAGTCTCTTTCGACCCATACCAAGTCTGTAAACGACAACTCCCGCAAGCTCCAAAGAGCTAGCTTTCGTGACCTGATGTTATAGTGCCAGTTGCTGTATTCTGGCTTAAGGGGGTATGTTAGGTTGGGTAAAGCACGTGATACGCTCGAAGGTCCACCTTCAGATGTGTGCAAATGTATACTTGCATAGACACAAAACAGTAATGCTTTGCATACATGTTACATGCATATATAGATAAATGGACTGATAAACAGATAGATAGACCGATAAACAGATAGATGATGGATGGATGACTGGATGGATGGATGTATGCATGGATGCATGGATGCATCGATACATGGATGCATGGATGCATGGATGCATGGATGCATGGATGGGACGGGACGGGACGGGACGGGACGGGACGGAACGGGACGGGACGGGACGGGACGGGACGGGACGGGACGGGACGGGATGGGATGGGATGGATGGGTGGACAGATGGGTAGATAGATAGAGGGAGAGGGAGAGCGAGAGAGAGAGAGAGAGACAGACAGAGAGAGAGCGAGACAGACAGATGGATAGATAAGCGGACTGAAAAAGACAGATAGACAGAACAACAGAAAACAGATAGACAGATAGACCGATAGCTATACAGATACGTAGGTAGCTAGATACACTGGTAGACAGATACACAGACAGGTAGACAGAAACCAAGCTAGACAGATACTTACAGTTGATCCCCAGTCCGGTCCCCCACACCCCGCCCTTCCCACGGCTGTCCACGGCAACAGCTGGATGGGAGCGGCACCGCGATGCAACGCTGCCAATACTCTCTGGGATTGGACCGGTGTCACGTTTCCACAAGCTTTCGACATGCAGAAAACTTCACGTCTCGAACATGGTAAAAGTAGCTGGCACGTAGTCGTGCTTTGCAGGATTCATCTTGCTTGAAGGGGGGGTTGCAAACTCGCAGACGTTGTCGTTCCTGGTCTCGATAGTAACATCAGAACGACTCTCAACATGCGAACAGTTGCAGGGACGGGATGGATGGCTTGCGGTTGAGATCTCGAGAATGCCAACACTCACAGAGATGGCAGAATAGGCGCGACCCTCGTGACTTCTATACGGATCTTGGCGATGTTTCTGCGCATGAGGTCACAAAAGATGCGCTGCAGCCACAGAAGAAGAGAAGATTGAGCATACCCGCAGAAACCGAGGGAGGTGACTTGAATCCCACATCCACTCGCCTTTTGTACACAGGGAGGATAAAGGACGCCGAACCAAACCCAGCCCACAAACGTCAAAGAAAAAGGCTGAAATTAAACCAAAAACCACCCGAGGGATTGATGTGCATTGCTGTGCATCGTCTACTTTCTTGTTACAAGACTCTGGGGCGTACATACTGCTATAAGGCAACACATACTCCTGCATGGTTTTCTCGTGCCTGTATGATCTGGCACGCTTGTCCAGAAACCATCACGAACTGGTCGATATAGCACTAGTTTAATACACGATGTCCTACATACACAATATGAGTGCGTAATATGCACTGACGTATAACTGTGTAACATCAGTACTAATTACTAGCAGCATGTACTTCAAAATAGGACCACAGAGAGCAAGGAATCTATATATATATATATATGTATGTATGTACATATACATGTGCGTATATATGTACTATGCATTAGACATCGCTACTGTATTATATGTCGTTGTATGTTGTTCTGCCCCACCACGTTCCACTATACACGCAATGTGCTAGCTTGTACTTGTCTGTGCGATTATGTACAGTGTATAAACTACTCTGTCCTACTGTGAAATGACATCATATCCAATTTGTTACGACTATGTCCTGCACACGCCATAAAATGCTGCCGCATGCTGCTTGTGTGCTTTTATTCATTGCCGCGTCCTAGTCCTCCTAAGCAAGCATCTTGCTGCCTCCCGACAGTGTCAAGACACCCCTCACGGTCGACCGAGCCTGTATCACACTCTGCAAATGGATCATAGTTCCTCAAGTGCATGCTAACATATGCTAACACACTCAATGCCAAAAGTATGCAGCAAGTTGCCAAGAACTGTTCCACTATCATGGTGGGTGTAAGCTGCTGACAAGTTCCGCATGCCACCTGTCCGGCAGGTCTTTTGTTGTTGCTCGCACACTCCGGGCAGAGGCGACCACTGACTACGAGCTACAAAGCTGCCGACCTAAGTTTCCTGGACCAGTTGGGGCGCCACCAACGCCGGGCGTTGAGCCCATGTTTGGCCTAAGCGAGGCGGAAGGATGGCCAGCGAAGGCTGAAGAATCCTGATTGAGAGTATACGGCCGCGCGGAATCGCGCATGGCAGTAGAAGCCCGAAGTTAACGTCAAATTCTTGCCTGCCATAAAATATGCCTGTATCCCACCAGGGAAACTTCTCAGGTGCTGGCATGTTGGTGCCCATTCCTGCACGAGGCAACCGCGAGCGCACGATCCCAAATCGGATAAGCCAGGGCGGAACCTGGAACTGCACCTCCAGGGTACCTTACAAACCGACAGGACTAAGAAGGACGCTTCCTAAACTCAGGCAACTCGGGAGCCAACCCACCACACGCTCCAGTCCCCATCCCTGGCAAGCGCAGGTGATCCAGGATGGAAACCCCACGAAAGAAAGCCCCCCCAGGCAACCTTAAGAAGTCTGCAACCCGAAAGCCCAAAGCCCAGCCAAATCAAGGCGGCACCTCCCATGTTGATCGCTCCCATGCCCGGAGCGCCCATGCCTTTCAGAAATCGGCCCACAGCTCGAGGCTGGGACGTTACGGAACCGCACCGAGCACAAGTGGCCTGTGGCAGCCGGGCTCACACCGAGTCCGCTACAGCCACCTAGGTTGAGAAAGCGCTGGTCGTAAAACTGATTCCTCAAACAAGCACCAAGTCACCAAGGTGATGAGCTTGCCTGAGTCTGACACCCGCTCCTCCGCCAGAACCCTGATGCCGGAAAGGGGTTGTAAGGAAGTGTCTGCTGACGGGAACCATGACTTGAAGCAACTGAGGATTTGACGAGCCCAGCACTCGCAAACGGATCGAAGCTTGGTGTTGTCGCAGGTGCACTACCGGTACCAGCCGCCCTTGCAGCCGAACATCTCTCAAGCTTTCCACATCTCAACATGAACCACCAACCGCGCTGCGCTTGAGCATCTTTGATTGAAACAACTTGGACACTCACGAAGCAAATGGGTCAAAGCCATTCCCAAGGCCACTGGATGGAGCCTGGCAGCAGAAGTCTTCACAAAGTCCCTCGCGAAAAAAGGCTGCAAAGCAGTGCCGGGAATGCGGATGGGGTCGGCTTGTCGATCAATCCTCCAGCGAGCAGGTCGTTGCCTGCCTGGGCTGCATGTCGCGAGGCCAATACGAAGACCTCTTTTGGCTTCCAATGTTCCTCTTCGAATGTGCCCATGCGAATGCACGGATGCATGATTTCGTGCCTTCAAATCGACCTATGCTGGCAGGCTGCCAGACGCGACATGCAAAGAGACTCAGCTTCTGTAAGTCGCCGGCTGGTGGTGGAGGTGCAACCGGCGCCACTGGCGCGGCCGCCTTTGCGGGAGCGGGAGGTGCCTGCCAGAGACCAGAACACAAGAACATCAGTACTTGGAGCCAGCACGGAGGTTTAGATATGATGAAGCCGACAGCTGAAATCGAGGAACAATCGGATGCATGAAACAAGTCGAGAACTAGATGCCACAGGTTCCAGCAGCACCCATGTTGAGACGCGGGACGAGTGCACCCCTTACAAGACGTGTCTTGCTGCAAGAGCAGAGCAATTGACAGGTCAGCCGTAGATGCATCTTGCAGAGTGCCGCGAAGCCGCAAAGCGGCTTTGAAACAGTCATCGGAAAAGGTGGCACCGGTTGCTCGTGTGGTCTGCTGAGCACGCAGGCCGCAGGCATGGCATTCTGCTATGGGCAAAAATGAGCAATGCCTCCATCGGGAAGCCTTCTTCCGGTGAGGTTGCCAGGCATGCCTGGTCTTGTGGTCAAAACCATCGTTGCACCATTCTGGGATTTGGCGCTCATTTGCAAGAGGCCCTGCCCGCAACCAACCCGAAGGCCGTTGGGATCAGAGGCGCCGCAAATCTTCACCAGCAGCACGCTCTTGTTCTCGCACGGACTTGCTTCGCGGCTGTAACCTCTCAGTCGCAGCCCGGATATCGCACACTCACACGAAGGTAATGGCTCAGATTGTAGGGAGTCAGTGTGAAGTCTTTGCCAAGCCCATAAGCCAGGACTTAATACCGATACCGGTTTAAGCCCAGTGCCTTTCTGTTTTGTGATAAGCACGCATGACAGCCATCCCATGCATGAAGAGCCTTCGACGGCCCCATCAGCAACGACTCGAAGTCCTGTGGCTCTGCCTGACGCTTCTGTAGTCTGGTGACCCTGATCGAGCTGTGAACCGCCTGCCTGCGTTTGCACCGGTGCAGCGACCGGCGCCTGGTTTGTATATCAAGTAGTGTTGGAAGAATTCAACTCGTGGGAGCGATGCGCTCCGCCTGGGCACCCAAGGCGTGCTCAGATTCGGCCTGGTCGTGAGTCCGGAGTTGCTACTTGTGTTTTTGGCTTGGGCACTGTCGATGCGGTACAGTGCCTGGGCATCCTTCCTCGCTTCGTACTCCTTTCTCCGTGCAGACTCGACCTGAGCATACACACTGTGCCACCGAGCCTTTGAAAGGATGCATTTCTACCAAGAGACTCGTTGCATCAACTTTTTGGCGACGGTCAGCTGGGTTTCCCACCTTGCACGAGTACACAGCTACAGATCACAGCACCAGCCACGAAGATCTCACGCTTCTGCTGCAAGTAATGGGCCCGGACTGGTCGAAAGAAAGACCTTCCTCTGCTAGGAGTGGCATGATCAACGGCAGAATCCGTTCGGCAGTGACCTGCTCTGACCACATGCGATGCTAAAGCTTACAGGAAGAAGCCAGCAGTGGCCTTGGGTCCAAGGTTCTTGCTCATGGCATCGTAGCACCCAAGTAAGCACATGCAGATGGCCGGGGTACGATCCTGCGACGGGAATCTTGAACGTGGCAGCACATAAAGAGTGCTGTGGAGCTGCAGGAGCCAAGCATTCATTTCCACCGCATGGAGTGATGTATCACCCGCCACGGCTCGCCACTCCTGCGCGCGTCACGAAGCGCAACCCTCGCCAGCTCATCTTCCCTTCTTTCCCTCTGCCGGCCGACTGGCCTTGTAACTAGTCAGGCTCGGGCGGAGCATTCTGAGGGCTTTGTACCTGGCCGGCCACCGTCTCAGCACTGCTCTTCCTGAATCATGTCGGCTGCCTGTGCTTCACTTTGGAAGCTTGTGCTTCTTCCGTGTCTGCCAGTGGCAGCACCTTGCGGAGGGCTTATCCAGAATGCCTGGCGGCACAGTCCAAGTCCAAGGCTACAAGTAAACTGCGCGACCGAGTGAGGGGAGGCTCCGCTTCGCACGGGGAGTTCGCGACCCTGCTCAGCTGCTCCCTGCCTCCCAACCGCCAGGGCTTCCCTGGCTGGTGACGCTTTCAGCCTTTGGAGCTGAGCTGCACCGAGATGAAGCTCAAGGAGAACCCTCTAGGAGCCCCTCTTGGCTTCTGGCAAAGCTGCTTTCCCGCAAACCCGGCAAGACCGAGTTGTTGGGACTTGCGAGCACACATTTGGCTCGCTCTCAAGCCTCTCCTCGCGTCCCGGCCCCGGCCTAACCAAGCCTTCCGGCGCTTCCGCCCGACCCACGGCCAAAAGCACCATCACCAGATAGGCCAACTGCGCCAAGCAGGGCCCAGTCTCTCAGTCTCAGGAGTTCCAGGTTCTGAGGGAACAAACCTCCAGCAGCCGGCCGGTCACCCAGCATTCAAAACAAGGCCTCAGAGAGCAGAGAGAGAAAGAGAGCGGCTCTCTCTCTCAGACCTCTCAGACGGTCTCCACTCGAGGCGGCTGCCATGGAAAATATCGGCCCACGAGCGCTTGCACAACGCTCAGGATCAGCATGCACACCTCTCAGGCTCAGTCAGGCGCTCAGGGCCCAGGCTGCTCTGGCTCTGGGTCCCCAGCAGAACTCGCAGAGACCTGCCAGTTTGGCAGAGCCATGCAACACACGCGCGAGGCGTTTCGGCGAGGCGAGGACCAAGGCCGAAGAGACCAGGGTCCGCTTGAAGACGGCGTTCCCTGCGTCGGCTGTCAGCCAGGAGCCTCCACGCGCAGCACAGGCGCCCAGGCGCCCTTTTGGCCGAGCCAGCAGAGGAATGGAGCACACAGAGACCGAGCTGCAGGCGCATCCGCCTGTAGAGATGCCTTGGGCGGGACTGGCTCTTTGTTGGAGCGAACTCTGGCGTCCGGATGCCTTGAGGCCAGCACCAGGCAATGCTGACGCCGAGGAAGGCCGTTCCAACACTCAGACAAGAAAGCCAAAAGAAGTACATCCTGAGTTTCGAAGTCTGTCTCACGTGGTGCTGGGAGGGAATCACAGAACTCCAGCTAGATCTAAGACAGGATCCCTTCCAGAACGAAGTGCTCACCTTGCAAGTACCTCAGCGACGGGTTGGGTTCATTTCACGGGATCCCGAGTCGTTGCCACGTTTGGCAGAGGGGCGGCGATGTTCCATTCACTAAGTCTGCGCTACAGTAAGCTCTGCCCTGCTGTTAGCAGGGAAGAAACGATGTCCTCGTGACCCTGAGCTGCAGGCATGAAATCATGGCCCGCTTCGAGTATCAGGAAAAGGAGGCAGAGCAGAATCAGTGGATTCTGGTACCTTCCGCGGCCAGCAAGCATGTAAAGCAAACATCTAGAGCCGCAAAAGAGCAACATCTCGTTTCCAGCTGGTCACCATGGCTTCTCGACCGCCTGGTCCATGAAGTCAATCAGTCGAAGCCAGTACTGGCCTTCTTGCAGACTCATTCCCAGGTTCTCACTAGGGCGGCGGCAGCATTTCTATGGGGGCCCTGCAGATACAAAGAAAAGCAGCAGCGGAAAGCGGGAAGAAGGCCGTGTATGAAGCACCAGCCTCACTGGTCACTACAAGCCTGGCTGTCAGAAAGTATTGATGCTTGTAAACTGAGGGTGTGCACCAGTCTTTCCAGCAAGCTCTCTCGTGGTCGTGGATGGTGAACCAGAGTCGCCTGTCAACACATAGGACATAGGACGTCAAAGCCGTCATGAGCATGCTGTTTCAAGGCCACAGAATAAAACGCGTTCACTGGACTAGTCAACATGTCTCAACCTAACTGCTTCAGAGGGTTCAGGTCTTGCGCGCTTGCTTCGTTTCCGGCACCGTTGAGAGGAAGCTTGCCGAAGCTTGTGAAGCCACACACGGATCCTACAGCAGCTCCGGCTGCGCTGTCACTAGCACCTCTTAACTTCTCGGGAGCGAAGCTGAGCAAACGTCTCCAGGTGCAAAGGCCTCGCAGATGATGTAACCCAGCCGCACAACAGAGGAGACGAGGCAGAAGACGTGGATAGCAACCTGACACATGGATTAAACGTGAATTGATCTGGTGCAGCAAATGCACAGTACAGGCACTGGGACTTCAAGTTTGAAACTCATCCATACACAACAAGACGCCATCATCAATGTTGCCGCGAACATGACGGGAAAAGCAAGAGACCGCCTGGAGACGCCTGTCCGTTTCCCGAGCCTAGGTGAGACAAAGCTCCATGATTGCATAAACACATGCCCCTCGCTGCGTACATTGAGTGCGGTTCCACACGAAAGCCACGGAAGAGCCGAAGGGCCTTCCGAACACTGCTATCCGTGACGATACACCACAACAGGCGGAGATTGAATACCGGCGAAAAAGGCTACGGGCACCCGACACTCCAGACGCCCGTCGCTGTGAACCCACAGCCTTCGAATCGTTGTGAGATGTTGTGAGATCCGCATCCAACGATTTGATGTCTGGTTGTGCCTTGCTTGTTCCTGTTGCCCCTTAGCCCAAAACCGGCTGCCAGAGCGTAGCAGTCGTACAGGAGGCCCCAAACGTCCGACCTTCAGATGCTGGTCCAGATAAACTAACGGTAAAGGGTTTAGAGTTTGTCCGGCCAACGTCCATGCCAGAAGGATTGAGCAAAAAAGCACCTCAAAACCTAAAGCCTCACACGTAGCTTGAATTGGGAGTGGTGCGGCGATTCATCTAAGCTGGATACCAACATCAACCGTATCCAGCTTTGGAGTATGAGTATGAGCTTTGAACTCCTAAACCCGAAAACCGCGGTCCTAGACCCACCCTTTTCCGACCCTCACTGTCAATTACAGGACTTGGGATTGAGGATTCAGGGGTTTGGGGGTCGAGGGTCGTTTGCATTCCAGGAAGACAGCAGATGAAAGGCATTTCTTCGAACTCACAAGGTACCCCCACACTCGGGACACCACCCTCTCCGTCCACACCATGGGTGGGCACCTCCCTGGAGCAGGCGCCTCCAGCGAAAGGGATGACGGATAACGTTCAGGAGCCCAACCTCAAACTCTGAACTTCTGCACCCCTGTGCTGCCGCAGGATAGTTGATGGAAACTTTGAAGAAGGTTGGAAGCATCTGCGCCCCTTCGCTGACAGCTTTGTGGCTGATCGAGACTGGTGACCAAAGCTTCCGGGCCTGTGCACCTGAAGCCCAGCGTCTCCGCCAGCAACCTGCAGCAAGCGTGACCGGATTCTGTGCTTTCTCTCGCGTCTCGTGCAGGCTGCTCGCAGGGCCTGCGGCGCCTGCTGCCAGAAAAGGCCTTGCACAGAACGTGCTGCAACAACTATCATTTTCCTTTTGCTGCAAGTAATGGCAGGAAACGGAGACACACCAGAGCCACGGTGCAGCAAATTCAGCACTGGACCCGTAGCGCAGTAGCAATCATCTTGCAGCCATCGCTGAAAGAGGTCGGCACCTTGGTAAAGCTGGTCTACGCGCGCTTGAGGCTCGCCGGATCTGTGTCGTCGAACTCGAATACGGGGCAAACGCAGACTGCTGGAGGATGAGCAGGCAAGCGTGAGCCATATTGCATGGCCTCGACCTGGTACTCGAGATGCGCTTACCTAGCTCCTAATCACGCTGCAGAGTGACAACAAAGTCAACTCAACAAGATCAATGACTCCAGAATCGTGCGGGCATCTGCCGTGCCTTCGAACAGCACGCCCCAGCGACCCCAAGCGCACATCATGCGGCGAGTCTGGGCTGTTGCTAATATGTGTGGTCACGGCCGTGTAATGAAAGTGCCACTACAGGGCGAGGTGGACTCCGACGTTTGGCTCTATCGAGGCCGTAGCACAAGCCCTCAGCGAAACAAGTTAGACCAATGCAATTGGCTCGACCTGCACAGACTATGCATGTCCTTGGACCGTTTTGATCCGAGACGCTGATCAAACCTCGACCCTCAGCGCGCCAAAGGCTCGAAGCGACCGAGGGCGAGCGTAGGTGGGCGCACCGATTTCGTCAGCTTTTCAAAAGCTGGCAGGACGATGTCCTGGATCCTTGGCTAACAAAGGAGTAGATTGAGCCTGTCGGAAGCTGTAAAACGATGCACGGCCCCACTATCCTTTTCATTCTGACGAGGTCGTTGCGTGTTCTTGTCGAAGATCTCGAAGATGCGGCTCAAGCCCATCAGTACCTTCCGGCAGAAAATCGTCTTGAAAATGCCTGAACAGCTGGCTCTACCCCGGCCTGGACCTTCACTTTTGGCGCAGCGGTGCCCAAGAGCTGCAGCATCCTCAACGTTGCATCTAGCAATCAACATGCAATCGCACGCAGCGTTGAGATGCAGTGAGCCGGTCCTGGGCAGGATCTGGTCCTTTACCTGGCGGTACCTGCATTCACCCAAAGCCCAGAAGCTCAATGCCACACCTGCGCACTGCACAGGATCAGGAGTCTCTGCGCACTCGAACTTCTTGTGCAAGTAGGGAACCTTCTCCAAGACCTGTGCAAAAAGGTCATGCAGAATGAATGTGCAGAAATATGCACGTGTATGCATACAGAGATAGGGCGAGAAAGGGACAAAGGTGCAGATTCTGCGCACATCTAACTGACACGGTCACTGCCGTCTGCAAAACACTGTCAAGGCTCTGGTGGGAGGCTTGGGAGCTTCGACTCGCAGCAAGGGCGAAACAATACTCAAAACGAATGTCCTTACAAGATATGTACTTATGAGGTAGATGACTGGGTGGAACACTCAGGTTGTCCACAACACCAAAATCAAGGTCAAGGCACTCCACACGCTACGTGTCCACATGTCTCTAATGTTTCCTTCTCAATCTTAAACAGGCTCGACGTGTTATTTCCCTTGCAATCTTGTGGAAAACGTTTCGGTATGGTGCTGATTCACACCCATGATCCCCAAGCTGTGTTCTCATATGGTTGGTCCTCGATAGTTTCTGCATTCGGTTTGTTTAAGTACCGATCTGTTTCTCAGTTGTGTCCAGTGGAACATAACCCCCGGCATAGAGTGGCTTCGGAGATCGAAGTACTGAAGTGGTGCAGGCATGTAGGCTATAACGAAATCTGACGAAAGAACTTGCAGCTATGGTAGTAAGAAAGATATGACACATAATCGCAAGACGGGATTGCACGAAGACAGGCTTGCAGGGATCGAGTAGATTTACGAGAGCATTTCTAGAAGCAGAATACAGAATACGATCAAGCTTTCATCCCAGGATATCGTCGACATTAAGCGGCTTGAGTTGGTTTGCTAAGATCACGTGGATGCTTGAAGGCAATAGCGGCACTCCCTTTTTTCACAACAGTTCACCAAATAAAGCTAGGTCAACGAAAAGGATGGCACGGGAAAACTCATGCTTATTGAGGTCAGATTCTTCCGTAGCAAAGCTGGCAAAAGCGACGCAACCACGCTTGAGCTGCAGGTGGTGATTCAACAAAGACTCCAATTCCAAAAGCTGCTATGAACCGTGAATGAAAGCCAACACGGCCACAAACATCTTGACTCGTGGGGTCATACAGGTATGTACGAGAAAGTGATATGTAAAGGAGATGGACTTGGGGTTGTGAAGGTGAACAAGAGCTCTAGCACATGATTCTCGGGGTCCTTGTGGAATGTTGTCACTATATGAGGCTACCCGTACGGAATCAAGGTGGACGTTCTCAGCCACGCTCTGCAGCTTCGGCCATGCATTTGCTATGTTGCACTTTCTTGTTTTGAATTGCTTACTTGGAATCCAGGAATACGTACATACATGTGTGTATATATAAATATGGTCACCCCCCCCAAGATCCACACCCGCCTCTTCCACACAACTCCACAGGTTGCTTCTCTACATTGGTCGGTAACTCATATATACCGAAGATACCGTAAATACCGATACAATCGTGCTTTACCTCATGTGCATGCAAACCGTGCTGCCGCAAGGCGCGGGTTTGATATGTGTAAAAATCTGGCGCCGAATCTCGGCCGCGAATTTATGGTAGTTCATGTGTTGGAGAAGCTGAAATGCTGGAGGGCGTGCTAGTTTTGTTCATGTAGTACTAAAAAACCTAGTGTTTTTTGCATTTTATGGTGTGTTATTTAACAACATTCCTCTAATAATAAAAATACGATTGTCTCTCTTACGAAGACGTCTGTGTGCGTGGGCAATCTCTTTCCCGCTGCTCGTGAGATGCGGCCTAATCGCTCTAGCTTTTGATTTATGAGTTACGAAATACAAAGAGCTCTTTTCATGTCCTGTCCATTATACATGGAGGAAGTCGAATATACGGGCGCGTGTATTTTTGAAGCAATACTCCAATAGTTGTTCTTTGCCTCATAAGAAATGGGAAAGCTCCTGCAGTTGAAACGTTCATGTGCATATGCGAGTGCACAAGAAGGCTCGTCTGCAGCAAGAAGTAAGAGTGCTCTTGCAACCTTCCAAAAATGAAGCAGGACTAGTTACGACTGGCTGCATTGATACGTACCAATCAGAAGGCAGGGGCTCCTTAACCTTGTAAAACAAGGTAAGGTGGCACTTCATGAAAGAAAGCTCCTCTTTATGTTGTGAGTCGATGTATGACAAATGTCAAAGGCAGCCATGTGCATAGCAATCGCTATCTATTTTTGACGATACTAATTTGGACCATCCTCATACCTATCAAAGAATCAAGCCAGAGACATAAAGACTCCTGCTAATCCAGAAGAAAAATTACGATGTCACCTTTAGTTTTGGAAGACTGAACAGAGTTCCTTCTCATATCGCGATACGAACTATGACAGCGTCTAAACCACAGTCATAGACAAAGGTCAGCAGAAAGTGAGGGAGGTGGCTTCAATAGAAACCGATAGAAGTCTCACGCCTCTTGCCCGCTTAATAAAAGATACCGGTACACAAGCTTTTTTTTGTTTGCTGATCACATCTAGGGAGTGTCGCTGGAAGATTGAAGAGAGCTACTTTTGTGCGTTACGTTCTATGACAGCAATTAGAGAAACAGCCATGGACACAGCGATCCGTATCTTCTCCGGGGTATAGGACAGCATCAATAAAATTAACTGAATGAAAACTCATGTCTCGTAGGAAACCGAATAGGAAGTCTCCATTGTTTCTGATGATAGCAAAATGCAAACAGTTTCCTACAGTGTTCTATATGAAATGAAATAAGTTCTACATAGGCTTGCGCTGCTCTTGCACTTAAGCTGCATTCATTATTACAGTGTTGGATCTGTAGGCGGTGCAGCTCGCCGAAGAAGGGCCAAAGCCATTTTCGAGAAAGCTCAAGTACTAGAGCCTGTGCTGCTGCCGCCATAGACTTACCAACCTCCGAAAACATACATGAAATAAACTATGTAACGACTAGGCTGGCCTTGTTCATACTTCTCAAACCAGAGTAATGAAAACCGCTGCTGTTCCAGAAAACACATAAAAGAGTACTTCCAGTCCTGGACAACGGTTGAAAGCACACACACTTATCTGGTGATACAGTATATCAGTAAAGCCTGTCCTGGACCGCAGAAAACACTGTAATGCTCAAAAAATCCTAAATTCCAACCCTGAAACTCACGAAACACTGTAATGCTCAAAAATTCCAAAATCCCAAAATTCTGGCATCTATGGCCAGGTCAGGGGCAGATTCCTTAAAAGTTTGGAATTTTTTGAGCATTACAGTGTTTCGTAAGCTTTGAGGCTTTGAGAAGTTGGTTTTTTTGAGCATTACAGTGTTTTGTGAGTTTTATTTAGACCACGAAACACTGCTATGCTCAAAAAATGAGCTTTGAGACTGTGAAAAGTGGATGTTTTTGAGCATTACCGTGTTTTGTGAGTTTTAGAACACGAAACACTGCTATGCTCAAAGAAAGTTAGCTTTGAGTCTGTGAAAAGCTGATATTTTTTGAGCATTGCAGTGCTTCGTGAGGTTCAAGCTACGAAACACTGTAATGCTCAAAAAAATCCAAAATTTCCAAACCTCAAACTCACGAAACACTATACTATAAAGCTCAAAAAATTCCAAAATTCCAAAATTCTGGCATCTATGGCCAGGTCAGGGGCAGATTCCTTAAAAGTTTGGATTTTTTGAGCATTACAGCGTTTCGTAAGCTTTGAGGCTTTGAAAAGTCTGTTTTTTGAGCATTACAGTGTTTTGTGAGGTGTAGACCACGAATCACTGCTATGCTCAAAAAAATGAGCTTTGAGGCTGTGAAAAGTGGATTTTCTTGAGCATTACAGTGTTTTGTGATGTTCATGCCACGAAATACTGTAATGCTCAAAAAAAATCAAGCTTTTACAGCCTCCAAGCTCACGAACCACTGTAATGCTCAAAAAACTCCAAAATTTCTAAAGAATTTGCCATCGGCCTGGCCATAGATGCCAGAATTTTGGAGTTTTTTGAGCATTGCAATGTTTCGTGAGTTCTGGGCTTGGAAATTTGGAATATTTTGAGCACTACAGTGGTTCGTGCGCAGAACCACGATGGCGTGGATCTTGGGGGGTGGGGCGAGCATAAAAATGTATATATATATATATATACTTATATACTTATATACATACATACACCCACCGCCACATGCAAAGGCTCTAGATACGCGCACACACCAAGTTTACATATGTATATAATGTATATATGTATATACCATTGTAGACACATATGCACATAGGTATAATGTTGGACCGTGATCAAGCGAGGCCTCATTCAGGATGGTCGGTTCTTGGAGCTCCATGCACCGCAGCAAGAACGGTAACAAGACCGCCTGGAGCACAAAAGGAACGAACACGCTGGAAGGACCGGATGAAAACTTCGACCTGCGTCTCAGCTGCTGGGGCGAGGGAGACCATAAGATCCAGCTCCTTTAGGAAGAGTGTGACCACCTGCAAGCGCTGATCTCAGGCCGTCTACCTGCAAAGACTGCTCCACCGTACCCCCGGCCTCTATCGGGATTTCTTTGGCGCTGAAGAGGGGCTTCAGGGCTGGCCAGAGCTTGGCCTGAAACACAATCGGCAGAACGTCAGAGAGGCCGAACCGGCTGCACAGCTCTGCTCTTGTTTCTGCTACATGCGACAGCACCAGTGTCCAGTCGTCATTTGACGACACCCTTCTTGCCGGAAGCGAACGCTGCCAAAGCCAGATCGAAATCTTCCTCTGTGAGGCCGCGAGGAGTCCGCACACAGAGCACGCCAGGGCAGCGTGATGCCACGTCGGCACAGTTGTCGCTGTACGTACAGTCATCGAAGAAGATCATGTTTTCGTAGGACAGCCCAGACTCATCTTTCAACTTTGGAAAATGCTGTGCTCCTTTGCCTGTGCAGGTAGCGCGGGTTCATACTCTATCTACCATCTACATAGCTGTGTATCTACCTGCCGATATGTTACATTATACATGAATGAATGTACGCAATATAGACAACGATGCATAAAAAAAGTATAGGGGACAACATCATACTTTTTGGCAAGTTGCTGCCAGGATATATCTGCCGAAACTTCACCAAATCACCGACCTTCTCGACTTTGCCAGGAAGCAGCGGAAACTCGTCGAGGCACTTGTTTGCAAATGTAGGTTCCTTGGGCTTGCAAACACCGTCTTGCAACAACGGACTGCGTGACCACCAACTTATCGGGGTGCTCTAGAATGCCCAAGAATCGTAGAACTGAATGTTGCCCCTCAAAAACCCAGGAGCTGGAATGACTGCGAGGTACTGTCGTTGATGATGCCACAGCTATCTGGATTCCAGACAGGGTTGCATCCGTACAAAGCCTTTGCAGAACAGACTGTGCACCGGGGAAGAGAGATACCTTGGATTGGCAGATCTCTGCACCACCCCTAAGCTTGCTGGCTACTAAGCATCGGTCGAGCCTGTGACCTCTTCAACGGCCTAGTGTTAAAGATCCAGTACAAGGCAGGTTCGAGCCAAACAAAACAATGGCAGAACAGCCAAGCCAAAGGACCGTGTCCCTGCCTGCTATCACGCCGCCCCTCTTACTGCAGTATGCAGAAGGAGAGGTAGTCAGCTCGTACATCTCAGGTGTCCACAAACAGGCATCCAAGTCCTTGATAGATCCATCGGCCACAGAATGAAACGCAAGGCCAAGCAGCACAGGAAAACTCAGGAAGTGACACCAACAATCTTGCAAGCCAGGCACAAACACGATGAGCGCAGGGAGCATGATACATTTGCTACTATGCCGGGGCCTACACGACCTGGTCTTATGAACGGCTGAGCGGTCACCATCTACGTTCGCAAGAAACCGACTCGATGGATGTTGCGAGAGCCCCACATGCCGGCCTGAAAGTGCATGGGATCGGACAGGCGATCCTTCTTAAGAGTGTTGATGATGATGGGTACCGCGACCTCAGCTCGTCCAGCGGAAGGAAAGGTGCCCTCATGCAAGGTTTTGGCAGGATTCCAAGTGTCGAACACCATAAAGGGATGGGAACAGCAGCGCGCCTTATGTCAATAATCCAGCTGGCAGGTACTGCAGAACCTGCATGGCCTGCTGCCTGGATGCTGCAAGGCAGTGTTTATCACATCCGACATGTTGCATGCCATATTCAGCTGCTCAAACGAGCCTTCTGAAAAAGCATGGTGAAACGGAACTGACAGTGAAACCCGTGAGGTGAAACTGACACGTACTGCATGTCTGCATTATCATAGCGAGGCTTTGCCGCTCGTGAGAAGGGAACGTGCTGAGAAAGAAGCCTCAGACAGCACTGATCTTGGGATCCTGCCGACGTCTGCCACCTTCAACTCGTAGAATTACTGGCACTGCTGGCGGTCCTCGTGGCCACAGGGACCCAGGGAGATGCAGGCCACGTCATACACCTGCCGCCAAGATATGTCAGAAGGGAAAAACCCAAGCATCCCTGCGATGCAAGCCATAAGCACGCTACGACAAGGCGACACAAGATTCCAAACCCTAAAATCCCAAACACCAAATGCCAAGCCCAAAACTAAACTCAAAACCCTAGCCTACAAAGTGCCACAGAAATCTGAAGCCTTTCGTTCCGCCTCAAGAAAGTTGCACTTCGGGTTAAACAGGACAACCCGCGAAATGCGCCAATTCATGCTGGTCGTCGTGATCTCTTGGAGATGAGTTGAAAATCTAAGTATCTTTGCCCCAACCGCAGCAGAAACTCTTCAGCTTCGGCCTGAAAGGCTTTGTGACAGAAACTTTTCTTGCTCGGCCTGTCTCAGCATCCTCCAGTCCACACAGAGCAAGTGGCTCTGCACTTGCTGAGGCATATTTCTGCAACAGCTGGGACAACGACAACGTGCGTTGCAAAGGAGCTGGTATCAGCTCCTTTGCCATGCACGTTATCGTTGGTCCCAGCTGTTGCAGAAAGAGAAATATTGTCACATCGACTCGACAGGCGCTGTGGTGGTGAAAATCTCCCAGGTAACAACCTTTGCACCTCATTTTGTACTTCCAGCTCATCGTTGAAGTGGTGGTGGTGGTGGTGATGGTGGTGGTGGTGGTGGTAGCTGTTGTGGCCGTCGTAGGGAGTACTACAAGTAACAGTACAAGTAGTCGCAGGTACAAGTGCTACCAACACGCTAGGTTTGCTGCCTGCTGCGCCCGACGGCGGGTCAGAGCTCCGAGGCCCAGGCTCAACTACACAGGGGGTTCCTGAAATTCAGTTCGGGGTCCCTGTTTAGGTTTCTGCAGTGCTTTGAAGGCTTCTTCACGGTTTCATCAGGTTCGTGGGTTTGAAAGGATCGCCTGAATCAGGGTCTTTAGTGGCCCTTCCTCTCCTTGCTGAGGTCTCACTCGCACTCACCTCGATACGGGCTCGAGCAGAGCTGCCAGCAACTCTTTCTCGCTCTCTGGTGGATTGCACCTATCTTCCTATTCTCCGATCGTCGGCTGTTGGCCTTGGGGCCGAGATGCGTTCAGAGCTCCACGGCATGTCTCTCTCCGACAGAAGAGGTGCTTTGGATTCGGGCTTAGGCCGTAGTAGGGACGTAGGGATTGGGATTGCTTGAACCCCAAAGGGCTGTAGACTACAGTTGCTTCAACACTATACTCCACGACCCACCTTGCGGTAGTTGATGACCAGCCGCGGATCGTCCGGTGCGAACTCTTTGGCTGCCTGTTCCATGCTCAGCATCGCTGGGACGAATACAACATGAAGCCCGATACATGTGCTCCTGCTGAACGACCAATGCCTCCCACCGAAATCACCGGAAACACCAACAAGCCCACACCTTTAACACGGCTGGATGAATGTGTTTTCTCAACCACACATGGTTGGGGTGCCTCTTTTTGTCTGCCACCCTTGATGCAAGCGTATGGGTCAGTCACCAACTCAAGCTAGAAAATGAGATGCCAGCAGCCTGCAATATCCCGTAACCGCGTCTTCTGTCTGCAGTGAACGAGCGATTCGAGCAGCGTGGGGACCCAATGCAACTTTCGCCTCGAGCCAGGGGGGTGCAGACACATCCCATTTGCCCGTGCCACCCACATGGAAAAACAGCCTTGAGCAGAAGACTCGGATAGCTGCGTCCAGTAATTCTTTGGACCACTCTGGCTCAAAGGGCAGTGGAAGGGCTTCTGCATCTTCTACGGCGGAGGAGACCCAGTGCGATACATTTCCCAGAATGCCTGAACTGCCGTGGCTCGCGGTAAACACGTACATATTCGTGAAGAGCAGTGGCTCTTTCTCTGTCTCGATGCGGTGTAGGAATGCCAGAAGTGGCATAGGTGGCCAGCCTTGAACTTCTCGACGTTGCGGGGCAAAGAACGGTAGCCAGCGATCTGCCACACCGTGCCCCCCGGGTGGCACGCGGACACCGGTAATCTTTAGTCCAGCAGCAGACAAAAGCTCCTCCAGCTCTGGAAGTTCGAAAACATGCTCGACGGGATGGTGAAGCAGATCCTCAAACGTGCTCCGAGAGCTTATGGAAAACTCAGACAAAAACTCCTGTCGGTAGACCTCCTCCTCGTTCGTCATGTTCCGTCGGGGTGCTGCCGCGTCACCGCTTGTCAACCAGGCTCGGAACTGGTGGTAGCTTGCATTCCCTGCTAAGTCACGCATCACGGGAATGCTGCGCCGTGCCGTGCGGCTGTAAAGCCCAAGAACCAGCGTGCCGCCCGGTGCAAGCAGTCGCTTCATCGCTGCAAAGCCAGCAGCTGGATCAGGAAGATGATGGAGCACACCTACGCTCTCTATGACATCGAACTGTCCCTCAAGCGTAGTGAGATCACATTGCCAAAGAACAACATTACGAACGCCGAGTGCAAGGAGCTGTCTTTTGGCCACTTGCAGAGAGCGCTTGCTGAGATCGACTGCCAGAATCTCTTGCGGATCGAAGTGCTGCATGTGTGCCAGAACCGCCTTTCCTGTGCCGACCCCAGCAATCAAGCTGCGCCTAATCTTCTTCTTCTCGGTTTCCATGAACCCGAAGCGCCTCCATGAAGGGTATGGATGAGAGGCATACAGCTCCTGAACACTCGGTTCCTCAGAACCTCTCCAGTATGGACAGGTTTCAATGGTTGCTTGCTCTTCCCAGTCTCGTTCGGATTGAAGTGCCTCTGCTCTTGGGCATCTTGACGCTCGGAGTTTCTCAGGCACAAACATCGCCCTTAGAATGGGATCCGAGCTTGAAGACAGGGCATCTCGCTCCTCTGCAGTGACAGGCCACGCAAAGTCGTTCAGAAGAGCTTGCGCTGCAAATGCACACTGGAATGTAGTCTTCTTAATCGCTTCTCTCCGATGTGCGCGGAATACTTGCTCAAGCTCGGGAGCGAAATCGTGATGGCTGTAGAGAAGCTCAGCAGCCAGAGCCTCATCCCACTGCAAAATCAGCAAGTGACCGGCAGCCCAAACTGCTCTGTCCCATTCAACGGTGTGGAGGGCTTCGGGAGACCGCAACACCTCGAAGAGCTGCTGGGCCTTGGGTGAAGTTGGTGTCAAGCCTTCCTCCGCCTCCCCTCGCCAGCTCTTGAACATGGTCTTGGCAAGCCACTCTTCGCGAAGCTCTAGAAGGAGCTCCCTCTCTTGCTGCGCCAACAGCTTCAAGGCAGGCAATGCTGTGGTCTCGATCACGAAGGAAGAGTTGCTCAGGGCCTCCTCGAGGAAGCGACCGACACCTTCTCCGAAGTACGCTTCCAGCTGTGCATGATCCAGACGTACCATGCAGTGGAGCCGTGTACAGCCTGGCGGAAGCCAGCTCAATGCATTGTTGCCAGTGGACGTTGGCACGAAGCCGTAGTCACGCAAGAACGTTGCGCTTGTGCGCAGCTCTGGTCTGGAGACGTACTCTGTCCACAGGTCCTGGCCCGGGTCGATCCTTTCCAATGCTTTGCATACGAACTTGCCCTCCAAGCCCCAGTGATCTTTGCCTGCATATCTTGTTCGGCAGTCTACATTAGGCTTCGGATCCATATTGATCATGTCTGCCAAGGGCATCAAGCCCCATGTGGTGAGCCATTCACCGTCTTGGCTGCGCAATCGGATGGCATGGCCGCGGCTGCGGAGGATCGCGTGCGCCCAGCGAAAGCGTGATTCCAGAAGTCCTGTTTCTAGCGACATCTTCTGCAGTAACCTAGAGACTCGATGCCAGCTTTGTAGCACTTCGTCCAAAGCCGACTGCAGCAGCCGTCCAGACACGAGGCAATCAGCAACTTTCCAGGTGTCGTCACTGTAGAAGAGCGGATGATCAGAGAGATCGCTTGGCAGCATCTGCATTACGACGGCTTCTCTTCCTCTGTCCGATTCACAGGCGTCAGCGGCAAGAGTTGCTGCAAGGATGTCGGAATGCGACAGATCAGGTGGGTCCGCAAGCAGTCGTCCCAGCTTAAAGCTGCCGACAGTTTCAATAGAAAACATGTTCCTCAGAGGGACGCTCAAAACGTCGTCGCCGGGAAAAAAGGTCAAGCCTGCTTGCAACCCTCGTCCATATGATGTGTTGACAATCTGGACATGCCCCGACAAGCCTTCTTCCAGCAGCCAGTCCGGCAGCGCTTCTATCCCAAGCCAGAGAAGCCCGTGCCAACGAAACATGCAATAAACAGCCAGAAAAGGCTTCATGGAAGAACCCCTGATATCCCCTGATGTCTGAGCACGTCCGGGCCAGAAGGACCAGGGAGGTATCTTCACCGAGTATCGCTATGCCGACACAATCATGCGAGCTGAGAGGTGGGAGATTCTGAAGGGCACGAGTCTGCCTCGAAGTCCTCTGCTGCCTCTTCGTACATGCTTTCGGCCTCTCAAATCGGTGGAAAGAGCAGCCGAAGAGCATGGCTGCAGAGGCGGCGTAGCCTGGCCTTGAAGCTGAAGGCACGACGGAACCTCGGACAAAGAGAAGCTGAGAGGCCTTCAGAACCGGGGCTACTGCTCTTCAGGTCCCCGCATCGCTCGGGCATTCGTTGGCTGCAAATCGATAACTCTGGAGAAATCATCCAGGGCGCGCTTGTGCCTGAGGACCCGGACAGCTTCAGGACTGCG